AGGACCTCCACTAGTCTCTGCAGAGCGTTACTAGGGAGAATGTCTTGTTGTTCGAGCATACCTTGGAATCCCACGCTGCCCCTACTGAGTCGGCTAACCGCATACCTCGTTCCCAGTGGACTTGCTGTCCGTAGCCACCTCATGCTAGACCAACGGCCCCATTTTCACCAGCCTAAGTTGGTCAAAGTGCTCTATGATGCTGTAGTCAATTGCTTTTCCTCCCCGTCTTCTACCACTATAGGTCGTCTTGCGCTACAGTTCCTCTTCCCTGGGCTGTCAGACTCACAACTGTAGCCAACCTCATGATCTACCTGCGCGATACCATGCTGCGCGATACCTAGACCCCACTGAGATCACCCTCGCCTCGTTCGAGTCACGTCTCTTAGAGGCTGAGTCCGCTGCCCTCGCGTCACTCATCACTCCTCGTTTCCTCCGACTAGTGCTCCTTTGGAGATCCTCCGCATAGATGTGTGGGGCCCAGCCCGCGTCACTGGACAGGGCCGAGAGCGCTACTTTTTGCTGGTTGTTGACAACTTCACGCGCTACACCATGGTCTTTGCCTTGCGGAGAAAGGCGGGTGCCCGCAGTGTCTTGATCCGTTGGATTCGCGATGTCCATCTCTAGCTGAGCGCACGGTTCTTGCAGTACCTCCCAGCCCTGCGGCTGCACTCTGACCGAGGTGGTGAGTTTTCCTCCCGCCTCCTCGAGGACTTCTGTGGTGTTGAGGGTATCACCCACACATTCACGCTTCCGACCTCTCCACAGTAGAATGGGATTGCAGAGCGCCGCATTGGCTTGGTCACGGAGGTTGCTCGCACCTCCATGATCCATGCGGCTGCTCCCCATTTTGTGTGGCCATTTGCGGTCTAATACGCCGCACAGTAGCTCAACCTCTAGCCCCGTGTCTCCCACCCGGAGACCTTGCCTACTCTGCGGTGGACGGGGGAGGTTGGCGATGGGTCGGCGTTTTGGGTCTGGGGTTCCCTTGCTCTTGTTCGCGATCCTCCCGCAGGGAAGCTCTCTCCCCGCACTCTTCGCTACATCTTTGTTGGCTTTCCCACCGATGCCCCTCTCTGGCAGTTTTACTACTGGCCTCTCGCCGCGTCCTGTCCTCCCGCTACGTCACTTTTGACAAGTCTGTCTGCTTACCGTCTCTTCCCCCACCGCAGTTTCCAGTACCCCCACCGCCCCTCTTCCAGGTTCCTGTCACAAGACTAACTTAGCTTAGGAGCCGGGTGTAAGGAGGGCCTAGGCTTAGAAGCCTAGGCCAAGCGGGTGTCGAGGGAGTTGTCGCCAAGGAAGAGAGAGAATGGTTGGGTTCACTATAGGACCACATGTACATATAGCAAACAAACAGGTGCACCACCAAGCAAACAATCAGAAAACTACACTATAGTAACTACAGCAAGCAGGATATATTAAATATAACTTTAACAGTTCCCGATCCCTGGGTTAAGCCTTTGGAGGTCTCCTCTGACACCTCTGGCCCAGCTGAGGGGGGTGACCCCGCTGCTGATGACACAGCGGCGACTCGCTGCTCTCCGCGCTTGGAGACCCCCCCTGGTTTTCCGCCTCGGCCGTCTTCACTGCCTTGGGCGTATTCATCGCCTCAGTTAGTCGATGTAGACTCTGGTGCTGCTGGAGGTGGTGCCATTGGGTGTGCGGACTCTGGGGGTGCTGGTTCTGGGGGTGTTGAGCGTTCTACTGTTGGTGGAGTCGTGGGTGCTCCTGCTCGAGACTCTGGGGGTGGACGCCAGCGGCAACCAAGTCAGCAGGAGACTCTCTCGCCGCAGCAGCTTTGCGAGTGGGCTGTCCGGTGGGGCAGCTCTGGTGGCGGAGCTGTCGGTGCTGGTGCTGGAGGTGCTAATCCCTGGAGGTACTGAAGTTGGAGGTGCTGGAGGTACTGGTGCTGGAGGTGCTGGTACTAGAGGTACTGGTGCACGTCGGCAGGAGTCTCTCTCGCTGCAACAGCTTTTCGAGTGTGCTGTCCAGTGGGGCAGCTCCGGTGGCGGAGCTGGAGGTGCTGGAGGCACTGGTGCTGGAGGTGCTGGAGTTGGAGGTGCTAGAGGTGCTGGTGCTGGAGGTACTGGAGCTGGAGGTGCTGGTGATGGAGGTGCTGGAGGTACTGGAGCTGCTGGAGATGTCGGTGCTGGAGGTACTGGTGCAGGAGGTGCTGGTGCTAGAGGTGTTGGTGCTGGAGGTGCTAGTGCTGGAGGTACTGGTGCTGGAGGTGTTGTGGTTGGAGGTGCTGTAGCTGGAGGTGCACGAGTTACTGGAGCTGCTGGTGCTGGAGGTGCTGATACTGGAGGTACTGGACCTGGAGGTGCTGGTCCTGGTGATACTGCGCACCGGCGACTCTTTTTCTTGCCACCACTTGGCTCGGCACTTTGTCAGTTTCTTAGCCTTTTGTCTTCCACTGGTCTTACTCAACCTCTACTGTCTCCTCCGCCTGACTAGACACAGTCCCAGTTACAGCTTGGCTCCCCACTGCCTGCTCCTTCTCCTTACCCTAAGGAGACAGACTCCTTGACAGAGCATCGTGAGCCTGCGTCTCGTCATGCCTCACCTGTTCGTACTGTCAGTCGTACTCGTCATGCTCGTCCTCCACCTGTCCCTGGCACTCACACTAAGGCACTTCGTCTTCCTCAGTTCAACAGCGTGTTGCCCTACCGTCTCCTCCGGCGTTCTCTCTTTCTGACGTTCGTGACCCTGAGTCTGACCTTGTTCGTGCTGCTAGACCTACTGTCACGTGTTTCCTAGCCACACTTGTCACTGACCCTTGTTTTAAGTCTATTGCTACGTCTACCTTAGTCATTGAGCTCGTTGACTTCGCTTGTGCCTACTGTCTTGACTACTTTACGAATCTTGTTACCGCGTCTGAGTCTTATTGTCTTTCGTCCGTTGGGGGTGAGCTTGCCCTTGGCTGTGACGTCCTTGAGGACAGGCAGTTTGACATTGAGTGTCTTGCGGCTGTTGTACCTCATCTCGCTGCCATGCTGCTTGCCCCTGAGAAAGACCCGGATGCACTGGACATCCCGACCCCGCGCTCTTATGTAGAGGCGATTCCGGGTCAGTATTCCTCTCAGTGGCAGACGGCCATGGATGCAGAGATGGCATCCTGGAAGTCCACATGCACCTAACAGCGGACGTCGTTGCTGTAGTGGCCGGGTGGCAGGAGAGAGGGATAATTAGTGTCTAACAACAACGTCGAACAAAGTGTGGGCCAACGTCACCTATCGAAAGTGGTGCCTCTGATCGACCGGCAGAGCTCGGACGGCATGTTGTGCGATAGCGTCGCGCTCCGTCCATTGTCTGTGTGCAAGGCTATCCGCCCGGTACTACCTCTGCACGTCCTCGCCAGCATCAGCAGCAGGCTCAGTGGGAGTCGCGGGGGCCGGAAGTGAAACGCCGAGACACTATCACTAATGAAATGTCCGAGATACGCGCGCAGGCACATAAGCCACAACCATAACTTGTACGGGCGTCTGACGGCATCAACCGCTAAAACCGGCGGCATGGCCACGACGGGCAGTGGCAGTCAGCAGCGGCGGAGCAAGGGCTGCGGTGGCAGCCGTGGCGGTAGCGGGAGCCTGTAGCGATAGCAGAGGTAGGTGCAACGATACTGGTAGCGGCAGTGATGGCGACAGCGTTGTAGCTAGGGCTGGGCGAGTGCGGCTAGGGCAGCGCACGGCCAGCAGGCCATGCGTGGCGCGGGGCAGAAGGGTGCGCAGGGCGCTGTCAACATATATTTTATATGTTTAGTTTGTATTACCGTAGTCTAGGTGTACACTTTCCTACTTCTATGGTTAGGTATATCTTCTTGTTTCTTGTTTCTTCTTAGTCAATTTTCTCACCCGTAAGTTTGCAACATGGTATAGAGCGTTAAGATCCTATGGGCCCACCGCCCCGTGCCCTAGAACCCGAAGCGCCCTTAGCCTCTTAAGTATTCGAACCGCCCCCCCCCCCCCCCCCCCCCCCTTAGCTAGCGCGTCACCAGTTTAGCCCCGCGCGTCACCCGATTTTCACCCGCGCGTCACCCGTTTTTCACCCGCGCCTCACCCGTTTTCTGCCCCGTGCGTAGCTCGCCAGCCCGCTAGCGCGCAGCAGGCGCACGCGCACGTTAAGTCGTAGCCGCAGATGCGACCGCGCACACGCGCAGCGTTAGCCGCACGCACGCGCGGCATTAGCAGCACGCACGCGCGGCATTAGCAGGACGCACGCGCGGCATTAGCAGCACGCACGCGCGGCCATAGCTGCACGCACGCGCAGCAATAGCCGCACGCACGCGCAGCCCGTCAGCTGCGCTACCGTCTCACCCGTCCCCGCTGACTCACCCGGTGCTCGCTGTACCACCCGTTCCAGTCACCTCATCCTGTAGTCAGCCGCCCCACCAGTTCCTCTCACCCGCCCAGAACCGCACAGAACTGCGCAGAACAGCACAGGATCGTGTGGCGCCGCCCAGAACCTTACCTGCTGACCCACCCGCACCAGCCAGAGCTGCTGCCCCACCCGGTACTCACCTCGCACAGAACCGCGCAGCACCGCACTGAACCGTGCAGAACCGCGCAGAACCGGGCAGAACCGCACAAAACTGCACATAACAGCACAGAATCGTGTGGCAACGCCCAGAACCTTACCTGCTGACCCACCCGCACCAGCCAGAGCTGCTGCCCCACCCGGTACTCACCTCGCACAGAACCGCGCAGAACCGGGCAGCACCGCACAGAACAGCACAGGATCGTGTGGCGCCGCCCAGAACCTTACCTGCTGACCCACCCGCACCAGCCAGAGCTGCTGCCCCACCCGGTACTCACCTCGCACTGAACCGTGCAGAACCACGCAGAACCGGGCAGCACCGCACAGAACTGCGCAGAACAGCACAGGATCGTGTGGCGCCGCCCAGAACCTTACCTGCTGACCCACCCGCACCAGCCAGAGCTGCTGCCCCACCCGGTACTCACCTCGCACAGAACCGCGCAGCACCGCACTGAACCGTGCAGAACCGCACAGAACTGGGCAGAACCGCACAGAACCACGCAGCACCGCACAGAACTGCACCCGCTGCCCCACCTGTACCAGCCAGAGCTGCTGCCCCACCCGTTCCCGTCACCACACCAGTACCCAGCCGCCATCCACCTCACTGAACCACCTGGTACCACCCTCACACGTTCTAGACTCCACCCGAGCGTGCCCGTTCATTGCCCTCGCACCAGAGCCTCCTCCCATGGCCACTTCTCGTATTCTCGCGTTTGATCCTGAGGGTAGGCCGGTAGACTTCCCAGGATGGCTCCGCAAACTCAAGCTTTTCCTAGGGAGTAGGATAGAGAACGACGTCCGCCTTCTGGACCATGCCACGGGCAAACTCGTAGCCCCGAAAGAACCCGACCCCTTAGGTTCCTCCCCGACGGACGAAGAGGAAGCTCGCTTTGAGAAGCTGCAGCTGGCGGCCAGTCAGTGGGCGGCGCGGGACGACGCCACAGTGCTCGCCATCACCGATCTCCTGCCCCTGACAGAGCAGCAGCACTTCGAGCAGGAGGTGACGGCCAAGGGCCTGTTTGATGCTGTCGTCAAACGTTATTCCACCCCAACCATTGCGTCCCTCGGTCGGCTTGTACTGCCCTTCCTATTTTCTGACCTGCCCTCGTTTCACCGCGTCCCTGACCTTGTGCTGCACTTGCGCTCGCTTGATGCCCAGCTCCGTTCTGCTGCCCCTGATGATGCCCTACTTGCCGCCAACCCCCCCCCCGATGTGGATGACACTGTACCTGCTGTCCACCCGCCTCCCTGGCCGTTTTGCTACAGCCCGTGACCACTTTCTCACTGTTAACCCCATGTCCCTCGCCATGGGCAGCAGGGCGCGCTGGCAGCAGGGTGCACGTGGGGCGCACGGCAGCAGAGTGTGCTGGCAGCCGAGGCGCGAGCGGGCAGCATGGCGCACGCGAGCAGCAGGGGACGCGGGCAGCAAAGGCGCGCGCGGGCGGCAGGCGACACAGGCAGCAGGCGCACGGGCTGCAGGGCGCGCGGGCAGCAGGGTGCACGGGCTGCAGGGCAGGGCCCAAAATTGGTTTTTAACTACTCTTGCAAATCAGGGTTCCAGGCCCCCAGTACCCTGACCCCTAGGGTAATATTTTCCGTACACTAATGGCAGCAGCCTAAAATTTCAGATCCACTGTTTGTAGTGTAAATATCAGATATCCTATGTTACCCTGTTATTGTGGGCCCTGTTTCCTATTCATCACTCTTCTGTTCTCTCTTTAAAAGTAGAAAGGTACTGTAGTTAGGAACTAGTGGCACATACCATACCAAGTTCACTGTTGCTGACATGTATGAATGAAAAGATGCGTAATTACCCGGGTAATGGACCCCCCAAAATTATAGACCCCCGGGTCGTTAAATGGGAGGGGGTCTTATGCTATATGCAGTTTCGTAATAAACCCCCCTTTGAGAGATGTATCCCATATTAGACCCCCCTAACCAAGTTCGGGTCAAACTGTAGCGAGGACCTGGTCGAGTTGTGCAAAAATGTGTTGATTGGAGCATATTGACCATGCGTCAGTCGCGCGTCAGTCGCGCGTCAGACCCGCCTCAGACCGCGTCAGACGCATGGTCAAAATTTCGCTGACTCCAAAGAAGGTGATGACTTTTGATGCTGTAACACTAGGGTGTTTTGAAAAAAAACATTTAGGATTAGACCCCGGGTCTATTGCATTTACACCCAGCTAATGGCCCCACCCCCCTTTTTTTCCGAAGTAGGATTAGACCCCCGGGTCTATTACCCGGGTAAATACGGTAGCTGAAATGTTGATCAGACAAAAATATAGTGACTCTGATTAATTTTACTTCTATACGGTGACTCTGTTTTTTCATATATTTTTTTACAAGTCCCTGATGATTCGGGCTGACAACAGGGCCTATAATATCAAGGTAAAACATCCTGATTACCCTGATTTCAAGATGATGTTTTAACTTTGCCCTGTAATTTCTGGATGCTGTGATTTTTTACCATGTGGCCTCAGGATGATGTTGGTATACGTTTTGCCCTGAAATTTCAGGATGGCCATGGTGTTTTTGGTTAACTATGTTTGTATGTTGTACGCTGTAGTGGAGTAGCCCCTACTGAGTACAACACTTTAGGGTTAGATATTGCCCTACTTGTACTCATCCTTGCTTCTAGTCACTCATTCTTGCCCGTTACCATTTCTGACAGTTTTGCCCTGTAAAGTCAAGATGAACAACGGGGACTGCCCTAACAAGTATTCAGGTACCTGCCCTCTCTGCCCACCCTCCAGGCACCTACCCTCTCTGCCCACCCTACAGTCACCTGCCCTCTCTTCCCTCCCTCCAGGTACCTGCCCTCTCTACCCTCCCTCTGACAGAATCACAGGCAAGAATGAATGTGCATTGATCAGAGGTGTGGGTACATATGTTAACCCTAATTTGGGTTGTACCCCTTATGGGCTACCCCACTACAGCCTACACAGCACAAGCATTATCACAGTTTGACACACCCCCATAGGCAAAGTGGGGGAGAGCAAGGGGTCACAAGACCAGTCAAGAGAGGCAAAGCAAACTCAGGGTGAATCACAACGTCACCACACAATCTGAGCACAAGCAAAGGGCCACAAGGCCAGTTCGCATGCAGAGATGTATATGCAACAACAGCAGTACAGTGATCACTACCTAGTAGAGCAAGCAAGCAGGCATATACATATAGATCACAGTACAAGCAGAGTTTACAGCAAGTGAGGAAACGTGGGCACAAGCCCCAGCAAATTGCAGAAACGCTGATGATCACAAGACTGAAGTGCCTTGGTGAATATATCAGCAGTGTTGGCCCGAGTGGCCACGTAACGCAGGCGAGGCTGACCACGCTGCTGCAACTCTCGAGCCAGGAAGTAACGCAGAGCGATGTGCTTCGTTCTGTGCTCCAGTCTGTGCTCCTCACACAAGGCAATGGCAGCCTTGTTGTCGACGTACAGCACTGGAGGAGAACAAAGCCGCTCTCCCAAGTCGGTCAGCAGGTAGGTGAGCCAGCGTAACTCCTGTGCAGCCATGGCTGTGGCGTAGATCTCAGCCTCACAACTGGAGCTGAGAACTGATGACGAGCGTGTAGGACGCCAAGAAACTGAACCAGAGCGAAGGCTGAAGGTGTAACCCTGTGACGACCGCTGAGTAGCCAGGTTGTCAACCCAAGAAGCGTCTGAGTGCCCAGTGAGGACAACTGGGCTCTTCCCTCCAAGCACTAGCCCCATGCCTGATGTACTGCACAAGTAGCGCAGTACCCTCTTAGCGGCAGTCATGTGCTCAGGTCGGTGCCGATCATGAGCCACGTAGCGAGCCAGCTGACCAAGAGGGTACGCGAGGTCAGGACGAGTGCAAGTCATCAGGTACATGAGGCAGCCAACTAGCTCTGGGTAAGGACCACTCGGCTCTACGGACTCGTCCGAAGGTGGAGCTGAGAGCGAGTGACATGTAGCCAGAGGAGTGGCCTGTGCCGAGGACCAGGTGAAGCCGAAGGGCTGAAGGACCTGCTGCACCATATGTGACTGAGTCAATGTGATGGTGCGGCGTGCTCTATGCCGGGTGATCCGCAAGCCAAGATAGCTTGTCAGTTCACCCAGGTCTGTGCACGTGTGTCTCTTCTGCAGCTCAGACTTCACGTAGGCGAGAGCCTCAGTGTCAGCAGTGGCAAAGACCAAGTCGTCGACGTACACGAGGATGTAGAACGGCGGCAGCGAGGTGTCGGTGCGCAGAATCAGGGACGGGTCAGCAGTAGAGGGCGCAAACCCAAGAGCCGCAAGTGTAGTCCTCAGTGTGTCGTGCCACTCACGTGGCGCCTGGCGGAGACCGTAGACTGGCCGCCGGAGGCTCCACTGGGTACCAGGAGGAAACGACCCAGTGAAGCCAGGAGGACGGCGCAACCAGATCTCCTCGTGCAGACTGCCCTGCAAGAAAGCTGTGCTGAAGTCAAGAGAGTGGAGCTCGTAGTCACGCTGAGCGGCAACGTGCAGCAGCACCCGAAGAGTGGTCATCGTCGAGGTAGGGGAGAAGGTCTGGAAGAAGTCTACTCCCTCTCGCTGACTGAAGCCTCGAGCAACGTAACGAGCCTTGAAGACAGGCGGAGAACCTGGCGGTCGCTTCACCCTGAAAATCCACATGCCACTGACGATGTTCGCCCCGGGAGGGGGAACCTTGTCAACGTAGGTGCCTGTGGACATCCAGGATGCCATATCTGCATCCATGGTTGTCTACCACTGAGAGGAGTACTCACCCGCGATCGCCTCAGCGTAAGAGCGCGGGGTCGGGATGTCTGGAGCATCCGGGTCTCCCTCAGGGGCAAGCAGCATGGACACGAGATGAGGTACAGCGGCGGCAAAGCACTCAAACTCCTCCTGCCTGTCCTCAAGGACGTCCGTGCCAAGAGCACACTCACCCCCGACGGACGGAGGACAAACAGACTCAGACTCAGCAACAAGGCTAGCGGCGTAGTCTAGACGACAGGCAGCAGCAAAGTCAACAAGCTCAGCGACCAAGGCAGACGCAGCAGCAGACTCAAACGACGGGTCAGTGACAACAGTGGCTAGCAGACGCGTGACAGTAGGGTGCTCAGCCCGAAACCGGTCAGACTCGGGGTCCGCAACGACAGGCAGAGAAGACGCAGGAGGGGACGGTAGAAGAGCACGCTGTGGAGGAGGGGAAACCCGACGGACGACGAGGTGGGTGTCGGGGACAGCCGGCAGACGCGGACGAGGGACACGACGACCAGAACGACTAGAACAGACAGGCGAGACAGGACGCGACGCAGCCTCACGACGCTCAGTAAGACTCCCTGGCTGCTCAGTGTAAGGAGAAGGAGCAGGCAGCGGTGAACCAGGCTGCAACGGAAGACCAGTAGACGAAGGGAGACTAAGAACCTGGTGAAGCACAGAGTCAGGCGGTGGCTGAGATGACGGAGACAGTGGAGCGAAGAACTGGCGCGGCTGTGCAGTGACACTAGCACCAGCAGCTCCAGTACCCCCAGCAGCTCCAGCACCTCCAGCAGCTCCAGAACCTCCAGCGCCAGCACCCTCAGCAGCTCCAAAACCTCCAACTCCAGCGCCACCAGCCGCAGTACCTCCAGCAGCTCCAGGACCCTCAGCGCCAGCTCCTCGAGGACCAGCTCCACCAACAGCAGCACCCCCAGAACCGGCACCTCCAGTCCCAGGGTCTCCAAGCTCAGTGCCTCCAGTAGCAGCACCCTCAGACTCAGCACCTCCAGCCCCAGCAGCTCCAGTACCTCCAGTACGAGCACCTCCGGGACTAGCACCACTCCCAGCTCCAGTGACGACAGCAGAAGTACCTCCAGCGGCAGATCCCCGAGCTCCAGAAGCGCGACCCTGACGGCGACCGTACCAGTCGTGCAACTGCTGCGAGGTGAGAGGCACACGCGGACGAAGGCGGCTACTCCAAGGAAGCCGCGCAACAGCAGACTCAGAACCTCCAGCGCCAGCACCCACAGCAGCTCCAGAACCTCCAGCTCCAGAACCTCCAGCTCCAGCGTCACTAGCGCCAGTACCTCCAGCAACTCCCGAACCTCCAGCGCCAGCACCCCCTGCAGCTCCTGAACCTCCAGCGCCAGCGCCACCAGCGCCAGCACCTCCAGCAGCTCCAGAGCCTCCAGCTCCAGCACCCTCAGCAGCTCCTGAACCTCCAGTAGAAACAACTCCAGTGGCAGAGTCACTAGCTCTAGCGCCTCCCGCAGCAGGGCCCCTAGCTCCAGCAGCATGACCCTGACGGCCAGCGTACCACTCAAACAGCTGCTGTGGGGAGAGAGGGAGTCGACGACGAGAGTGCAGCGGCGAGGCACCAGCGGAGCGACTACGGAGACGGCCGCTCCCGGGAGACTGCTCACCAGACGCCTCAGCGCCCCCAGGCTCAGCACCTCCAGTCTCTGCACCCCCAGGCTCCGCACCACCCTCAGCAGCACCTGAGTCACCAGTGACCTCAACATGAGGGGGAGGGTCTACCTGAGACACACCTGAAGGAGCAGGACCGGGAGCGGGGAGGGGGTCTACCTGGGCAGCACCTGGAGCGAGGAAGAGCGGCGGGGGGGGGAGAGGGGCAGTGCGGTAGGGGAAGAGACGGTAAAAGGGAACCGACTCGTCAAACGTGACGTCCTGAGAGGGGAAGACACGGCGCGAGGTGGGGTGGTAAAACTGCCAACCTGGCGCGTCAAGGACAAAGCCAAGGAAGACACAAGCAACCGCGCGGGCGGAGAGCTTGTCCGCGGTGGTATCGCGGACAAAGGCACGGGAACCCCAGACCCGGAAAAGCGACGCATCGCCAACCTCCCCCGTCGACAGCAGTGTGGGCGACGTCTCCGGCAAGGAGACACGGGGCCAGAGGTTGAGCTGATGCGCGGCGTACCGGACCGCAAACGGCCACAGAAAATGGGGGGCAGCCGCATGGACCATGGAGGTACGAGCGACCTCCATGACCAAGCCAATGCGGTGCTCAGCAACCCCATTCTGCTGCGGAGAGGCCGGAAGCGTGAACGACTGGGTGATGCCATGCTCCGCACAGTAGGCGGCCAAGAGGTCGGAGGAAAACTCACCACCTCTATCAGAGTGCAGACGCAGGACGGGAAACTCTGTCCCGAACAGCCAGCGGAGCTGGAGACGGGCAGCGCGGATCCAAGGGATCAAAACATCAGGGACTTCACCCTTGGTGCGCAAGGGGAAGACCGTGGTGTAACGCGTGTAGTCGTCGACGACCAGCAGGAAGTACCGCTCGTGGCCCGGTCCACGAACGCGGGCTGGGCCCCACACGTCCAGGTGGAGCGTCTGCAGGGGAGCCTCTGTGGGAGGGAACGAGGAGGAGTGAGGAGCGGCGCGCTGCCGCCCCTCGACACAGGGAAGACAGTCAGGAGCAGGCGAGGGTGGGAGGGGAGGGAGCACCCGAGGAAGACCAGAGACAAGGCACCGTTTGTGCATGACACGAAGGCGCTGCACTGACGGGTGACCAAGACGGTGGTGCTAGAGAACGGTCTCGTGTGCTAGAGAGCGACACGAGCAGGGGGCAGACAGCTGACCTGAAGCAAACGCAGACGCAGACGCAGCTACCTGAGGGGACTCAGTAGTCAGGGTGTACAAGCTCGAGCCAGGCTCACGGGTGAACGTGGCCAGGTGCCGGCCCATCCGAGCACACGTACAGTGAGTCACTCGCTGACGCGCAGGAGTGAACTGGTCAACCCCCCCATCCTGGAGGTCAGCTCCACTTACCAGATTCGTAGAGAACGAGGGGAGGTAGAGACCTGACAGCAGGCCAGATGGGGCGGCCGAACACGGCAGCACTGTGGAGTAGCGGGCAAGGACTGGACCCCCAGAGGGGTCTGCCAGGGGGACTGCAACTGGCCGACTAAGCGGCGTGAGTGTGGTGCAGTCGCGAACGAAGGAGCAGGAAGCTCCTGGGTCAAGGGTGAAGGTGTGCAGGGTCGCAGCAGGCGACGTACCAGAGAGGGCAGACTCACCAGCACCTGAAGCAGCAGCCGCACCAGCACCCAAAGCAGGAGACGTACGAGCACCTAGAGCAGCAGCCTCACCAGCACCTAGAACAGGCGACGCACTAGCACCTAGAGCAGCAGCCTCACCAGCACCTAGAGCAACAGGCTCTATACGTGGGTCTGGCGGTACGCACAGGTAACAGGCACGGGTAGCACTAGTAGGTAATGCACTCATAGCAGTGAGAATAGTATCATAGTCAAGAGCAAATATATCTACTCTCTGCCCAAGCAGCGCCACCCAGTCGGGGAGCTCAGCCTCCTCGCCAAACTCGGTACGCGAGGTGTCGCTCAGACGGGCGAAGCAGCGGGACTCTGTGTGACTAGGCGTCCCGCAAGGCTGACCAGTCCGAGCACCAGTGCGAATGACGTAAGGGCAGCGAACGGAACTGAGAGACCCCCGACTCTGAGCGTACCACTCACGAAGCTGCTGGGGCGGGAGGGACGCACGCGGACGCCGCTGGAGCTGCATCTGGCCACCGCCAGTAGCAGTAGTAACAGTAGTAGCAGCAGTAGCAGTGCGACCACCCCTACAACCCCAACTAGCGTACCAGTCACTAAGCTGCTGGGGCGTGAGGGACTCACGCGGACGTCTCTGGAGCTGCATCTGGCCACCGCCAGGAGCAGCAGGAGCAGTCGTAGCAGCAGGAACAGTCGTAGCAGCAGGGCAGGCGCAACAGGTAGGCAGGCAGGCAGGTAGGCAGGCAGGCAGGCAGGCAGGCAGGCAGGCAGGCAGGCAGGCAGGCCGGCAGGCTGGCAGGTAGTGCACTAGCAAGACAGCTGCTCACCAGTGGCGGGAAAAGCAGACTCTCACCGGGCGAGCAGGGCCGGTGCTCGGCAGACGGCAGCAGGGTCGGCGCACGACGGTGGGGACAGCGGGGCCGCAGCAGCGGCTACGACAGCGGCAGGTCAGGGCCGCGGCAGTGGCTGTAGGGCGGGGCCGGGTCGTGTCAGCTGCAGGGCGATCCGGGTCGTGTCAGCGGCAGGCAGAGTCGAGTCAGCGGCAGGCAGGGGCCGTGTCGGCGGCAGGGCGCGGCCGTGGCTGCGCTAGGGTGGCGCGCGCCGCTGCCTGGGGCCGCGCACTGGCGAGTAGAGCGCGGCGCGGGCAGCACGGACGGCGCGCAGCGCGCTGCGGGCCGCGGACGCGCCGCGCAGGCTCTGGACGGGCTGCGCGGGGCAGCGGCGGGCCGCGCGCGCGCTGCGCGGGCTCGGTGCGGGCTGCGCGGGGCACTTACGGGCCGCGCGCGCGTCGCGCGGGCTCGGGACGGGCTGCGCGGGGCAGTTGCGGGCCGCGCGCGCTCTGCGCGGGCTCGACTCGGGCTGCGCTGGCCGTGCGCGGGACGCGACTCGTCTGCCTAGGCGCGATTCGGGCAGAAGAGGGCGATCCGCGGGGGTAAAAACGGTCTAAACCCTAATTCCTAGGGCAGCAGGAGGCAGCACTAGGGCTGCAGGACGGCGCGCGCAGCGCAGCACGTCACGAGAAGGCAGGCAGGCACACGATCAGACGTGGGGTAGCGCGGTAACCGTAACGGTAGGTGGGCCCGAAAAAAAAAAGTCGACGGTCCTACGGACCTACTGCTCTGATACCATGACAGAATCACAGGCAAGAATGAATGTGCATTGATCAGAGGTGTGGGTACATATGCTAACCCTAATTTGGGTTGTACCCCTTATGGGCTACCCCACTACAGCCTACACAGCACAAGCATTATCATAGTTTGACACCCTCCAGGTACCTGCCCTCTCTACCCTCCCTCCAGGTACCTGCCCTCTCTACCCTCCCTCCAGGTACCTGCCCTCTCTACCCTCCCTCCAGGTACCTGCCCTCTCTACCCTCCCTCCAGGTACCTGCCCTCTCTACCATGCCTCCAGGCATCTACCCTCTTTGCCCTCCCTCTAGGTACCGGCCCTCTCTGCCCTCCCTCACGGTACCTGCCCTCCCTACCAACCCTGCAGGTACCTGCCCTGCCCTCCCTACCAACCAACCCTCCAGGTTGCAACAGAGTTATTAGGCCTAACTAGAAGTACTAAAAGGGGCCTTGCTTAAGAAATATTTGCCTCGAGAGTTCAGGATGAAGCTCTGCATGAAACTACAGGATGGATCAAAATATTTGCCCTGAAAAATCAGGGCTGTTTTTTTCGATTCTGCAGAGTTGCCCTGAGGCCTCAGGATGCCTTAAATCGTAGCAAAGGCCTTGGACAACAAGTACCTAGTCTGACAATTAAGACGAGTCTTCTAAATGCCCTATTATCAAGCCTATTCTCTAAAAGATTCTAAGGGGTTTTCTCAACTCAAAACAAAAAAAATACTACCAACAATGTGATCATGTGCCCACCTTTCACTAATGAAAAGAAAAGAAAAAAACATTCTGGGCTTTTAGCTTCTACTACCTACCATTTGTGCAAGTGGCTGGACAGCAATAACAGATCTAACAGTGTATACTCCATCTGTCCAAGACAAACTTCCAAATGCAAAGGACGGAGAGGGCTGTTGCACCTGTAAAGTGACGTTGTACACTGCAGTAGACCAAGGCTCCACAACCAGCAACTCCGGCCTCACATGGACAGCCACTCCTTGTGGTGCCACGACTATCGGCTTGTACACAGACCTCTTGCCTGTCACGTCTCGCACCGTTCTCGTCACCACCACCCCTCCCTTGAGTGCACTGACAGCAATGTTTGCTTGGTTCAGGTTGTATGTAGGAAGAGCCTGCTGAACAACCCCTCGTGGTAACGACCCAACCAAACCGATATTCCTGGCTTTGAGCTCATCCACAGAAATCAAGAACCGGATCATATCTGCTGACGTGGCATCATACACCAGACCAGGATTCACCGCAGCTGTGGGGGTCAAGTGCCCCGAGCCCATGTCAAACGGTGAGGCTTGGCGCCCGGACTCTGTTGGGATGGGTCGGCCGAAGCGGGTGAGTGCAGAGGCGGAGGTTTGGATGGCGGACTTGACAGCGAAGGGGCTCCAGTTGGGGTGCGCCTGTATGAGCAGTGCTGCTGCGCCCGCCACATGCGGGGTGGCCATGGACGTGCCTGTGTTCACGTTGAACGCCGACGCTGCTGCTCTCACCACTCCTGCACGTGGCAGACGGGGCGAATGGGTGGGGAACAGGGGCACCCATGTGAGCAGCTGCCCCTGGTCGCATCAGAGAAGGAGGGAGGTTGGTGGCTGGAGGGGAGGATATCAAGTGACGTGTGGTGGGAGCAAGCAACATGTGCCCCATGGAGGAAGGCAGAGAAACGTCAAGGGCAGGCATGGAGGGCATGTGGCTTCCACACCAAGCGCCACCAGGGGCAACTACATGGTGATGATTCAGCCTTGCACATGAAAACGTGAGCATGCCCATTGCTTCCTTTCCAATGCAAGTGTGCATCCTTGGCAGGGCGCGTGACACAGTGAGCAGGTGTGAGTTGGGAGGGAGGAGGGTCTGACCGGGGGCAATGGTGCTGAGCGCGTCCTGCTTCACGGACTGCGTCCACGCCGCCCATATCTCCACCCCCGGCGCCGCCACATCCGGCTTCAGCACGTCGTTCAACTGCCGCCCAAAGGCGCGCCCTGCCGCCCCATCCAGGTCCTCCACTGGCCCCCTGGAGGAGAAGGCTGCGAGTGTGGGGGCATCGCCGTACACTGTGAGCGCAGGGGACAGGGAGCCCAGGGGGCTGGCAGCACACACACGCAAGGGGCACAAGAGTTGCTCACACTCCATCCATCGCTTTCACGTGGCGCCCCTACGGTGCCCGCCAGGTATTGCTGTGCGTGGTAGGGCAGTAGAAGGCAGGGCATAGCGAGGAGAGAAAGAGGGCAGACAGTTGTGGGAGCAGTAATGAGGTGAGGCAATGACAAGTTCACTGGATTCTCCACGCACCCTGTGCCCACATGCACAGGCACCTGCCGCATGGCACAGCAAGTGAGTTGAGAGGTACGGCTGTGGGCAAACGCCCAGGTGGCACATGTGTGGATGTGCACTGCTCACAGCCTCGTCGCTCCTCCTCACCTCGTGGTGCCGCGCAGCAACGCCAGAAGGGGCTGCAAGGCCCACACGTTCAAGTGGCACGCGGGGATGGGATGCATGGCAGCGGCTGTGCCCATCTTGGCACCGCCATTCACGATCACCACGCCCGCTGCCCCGTTAGCAGCCGCCACACGGCTCATTGCGAGCGTGTCAGTTGCCCTGTCAACGTCAAGGCTGTCTGAGTCGGGGCGGATGCACACGACGATGGCGCCCCTCACCTTGCCACGCTCCAGCGACCCCGGCTGGCAATAGCGCGCCTGCTCACGGGAGACGGAGGGTGAGAGGGGAGGAAGGTGGGTGTGAGGCCATGTGGCTTTGCATGTGATGTCAGTGCGCGTGCCCTCGTATGCAACAGGTGGGTTGGGCTGGCTGGAGCGAGTGAGATTGGAAAGAGGGGATGATGGGCATGGGGGGGAAGGAAGGTAGGCCGTTGGAAGGGGTGCAGCGAGCACAGGTGCAGCTGGAAGGTGGCCTGGGTGAGCGCAACGTGGTGCGTGCTGTGGGCTCAAGGAGAGAGCAGAGGGTTTTGACATGGTGCAAAAGCACGAGTGGGGAAGGACAGCAAGGTGGGCTCGCTGCGGGTAGCCTCAAGTGCAAGCGGTGTCAGCATAGGCTGAGGAGTGCAGTGCGGAATGATTATAGCTGGCACACAGCAACTGGTGTGTGCAGCACTTGAGCTGCGCTGCGGATGGATGCACGCAAGGCAGTGAGTGGGAAGGAATAAGCAGGTGAAGTGGTGCTCTGCACTCGTTGTGGAAGCTCCTGCGCAGGAAAAGAGTGCTTCAATGTGCACCGCTTGTGGCGACGTGCCTATGTAGGTGCGCTGGACCCGGGTGTGCCAGTGTGGCCTCTCTCTTCCTGCCCTCTCTGCGCACCTGCGCTACAATGGGTTGACCATCGCACCCTGCCTTTCCTACCTGCATTTTGGATCGCCCTGCACCCACTGCAGCCTCCCCTTCCACCAGGGGGAACGCAGCGGGTCCCGCTGCAGTGTGCGCGGCGTTTGGGAGAGGCGGGTGGCCCACGAAGGAGAGCCCCACAAACGTGCGGTTGCCCGCCACCGCCAGCTTCGTGGCGTAGCGCCGCCCAGTGTCGCTGCAGGGGCCAAGCGGGGAGAGCGCGGATGACATGAGCGGGAGGGGGACGAAGCGCAGGGTGTGCGCGTGTTCGTGCGTGTGACACGGCACATGTTGGGGTGCTGGCGCGCTGCAGCAGCACATGGGGTCTGCACAGCAGAGTGAGTGCAGCACGGATGCTAGAGGCGGCAGGCGCATGGTGCGAGCAGGGAGAGCAGGGAGAGCAGGGAGAGCAGGGAGAGCAGGGAGAGCAGGGAGAGCAGGGAGGAGCGGCAGAGAGGGTCTGACCTGGCAGCGACGGTGGTGTACCAGGGCGCGGGGTGGTCCAGCATGCTCAGCAGCTGCCCGCCCATGTTGCCCGCCGCCAACGCCGTGAAGATGCCCGCCTGCTCACGCACCACACACTCCAATGCATCACTCCACCGCCTCCTACCAGTGCTGGCAATGCGCATGTACGAGCATGGCCTCGGGCGCCCAAGGGACGCACGCACACGAGGGCATTGCATATTGGTGCGGCGCTTGCATATTGGTGACATGACAGCATGACGTGGCAGACGATGCATGGCGTGCAGGAGCGGTGGTGGTGTGACCTGAGCGGCGTGCAGGAAGGCGATCTCGTCGGCGTCGAAGGGCGACGAAAACATCTTGCCCAGCGACTGGCTCACCACGTCCACGCCGTCCGCGATCGCTGCCTCGATGGCCGCCACCACGTCCGCCGTGTCCGCGCTGTAGCTGCCGTCCTTGCCCGCCCACACCACCTGCTCGTGCCCCGGGGAAAGCACGGCGAACCACAAGGGAGCAGAGCATTTGTGCTGCCTGTGTTTAAGTGGAACCAGGCGCACATGAAGTGGGCAGCCCAAGGCTGCATGCATGGGCTCCATTGCTGTTGCGGGGCGGGCACGCGTACCTTGTAGATGGCCACGCGGGCCCTGGGCGCCACCCCACTGGCTGCCCCGAACGTCATGTTGCCCAAGGTCACTTGGTTCCACTGGTTGCCCGCTGCCGTGCTGCCAGTGGTTGCACGAGGAAACAAACAGGCGAAAGGAGAGGAGAGCAGCAAGGGAGGGGTAAGCGCGTTGAGGAATGGCAAAGGGGCAATGCGCGGCGCTGCAGCGCGCGCGAGAGCGCAGCGGCGTACCTGGAGGTGTGCGTGCCGTGGCCCACGACGTCCCTGGGCGACGCGTAGTCTCGGCGCCAGTCGACGGGCTCGTCCGCGGCGAAGCCCTTGACGAAGTACTTGGCGCCCACCAGCTTGCCGTTGCACAGCCGCGCGGGGAAGTCCCCTGCATTCTCCACGCCGCACCCCCCCTTCCACCGCGCGGGAACTGGGCCATAGGGAGGGGAGACCTGTAATGAGAAGAATGGGGCAGGCAGGAAGGCCGAAGAGAGGGCAAGCACGCGTGAAACTCGTTAGACAAGTGGGGTGAGCGCAATGGGGAGGTGCCTAGCAGCACAGCGATGAGGGGAGGGCAGGGCCGTGGGGCACGGCACGTGCTGGCCACTCGCCCGTGTCAATCGCGCCTCTGCTGACCTCTTTCCCTTCCCTGATAGACCTGCCCAGCCCCAACCTCTCCAATGCACACAAATCAAATTTATTGAGGTTTCCCCGTCAGACGCCCACGCTGGTGGCTCCTGATTCCCCCCTGTGCGGGGCCCCCACCCCCGCAAGCGGCAAGCGCAACCCCATTAGGCAAGCGCGATGGTGAAGGGCGCACCTGGTGAGTGAAGGCGGGGTTCTCGGGCCACACGCCCGTGTCGATGACGCCTATGATCACGTCCTCCCCCTTCAGCACCCTGCCCCGCTGGTCCTGCCACCGCCACATGCGGTTGCGCAGCCCCAGCAGCGACGGCGTGTACGTGGTGCGCGCATGCAGTCGTGCGGACGCCAACACCGCCGACACGCCCGCCTGCTTGCGCAGCGCAGCCGCCTGCGCGGAGGTGAGGCGCACTGCTGCTCCGTTGAGCGCAAACGTGTAACTGGGGGCGGGGGTGGGAGGCGAAGGTCCATGGGTGGGTGCGCGGTGAGGATTTTGGGCTCAATCCTGCATGCTGGCGCAAAGCGCGCGAAGGGGGAGGGAGGGGGAGGTTTCGGGATGGCGCTGCTCACCTGTACAGCTTCTGCTTCCTCGCATCCACGCCGCCACGTGTCAACTCCGCGTCTTGCATCGCCTGCACGTGCTGCGAGTAAGCCACCACCCGCTTATCACTAGAGTCCAAACGATACCGCCCAAATTTGCCCCTCCCGCGGCCTCGTGACGACACGGCGGTGGGGCTGAGGCCCTCAAATCCACCGGTGTACGCGGTGACAGGGGGCGCTGTGCGGAAACGGACGATGTACACTGCGAGGGAGAGAACGGGCGGGATAGAAGGGTGTGGAGGGGTACGGTAGGGGTTAGAAGGGGTAGGGGAAGGTGAAGGGATGGGGGATATGTTGGTTTTGGGCCGGTGTATACTGGGGCAAGAGGGCGCGGAGGAGGAATGGCCAATCAAACCTTCCGATAGATACCATGCAGCTGCGGCTGGGCGGAGGCGCAAAGTGTGGCCTTGGTCACCAAGGGGGATTCAAGATTCGGCATCATACTGTCACAGCAGTGGTGCAATTCTCGCTAAACGTTGTCAGGCCGCGCGGTGAAAGTTGGGGAGCCAAAAAGAAGCGGGCGGTTTATGCAGGCCAGTAATCCTCCTCCGCGCAAATCCTACCTCTCGAATCTTCCGCGTCAGTCCGGCTCGTTCCGCCTGCATGTCCTCCAGGTCGCCTCTCACCCTCCTTCCCGGCACTGCGCTCGTTCCTGTCGCCCGCCGCTGTTATCGCGTTCATGCGCTCCGTCGCCGCTCCTGCTCCGTCCGTCGCCTCCGCTGGTATAAGCGGGGGCCCATCGACAGCGGACGCGGCAGCAAGGGCAAGCACGTGGGCGGCGAGTAGGAGGAGGGGAAGAAGCAGCAGCGCGAGCGAGGGCGGAGAATGGAGGCGAGGGGCGGTGAGTGGTGGACTGTCATCATTGGTGGGTGTTGTGGCCGCTTCTGCGGTGGTACAACTCGCTCGCGACACACAACGCCGTCGCGGTATTCGCGCTCCGCTCCTGGCGCGTGGTAGCGGGACGAGGACTGTGGCGGAAGGGCAGCGTATGGAAATAGACAGCGCCATTAGCCTCTCTAGCTTTGTGTTGGTGAGTTGTGCGTCAGAGCAGGTCGTGACTGCGATAGCTGCTCTTCCTGCATGCATACAAACCGTCCCACGTCGTTCAAATTGGCTGCATGGGGCGTTAATTCAGGAAGGTGCGGAGCTCTACGAAAGTGGTAGACGGTGAATGTTGCTTTCATCGGCCACTGCAGCACCACGCATTCCAATCCAACATTCCAGCCAGATGCTGATATGATCGAGTCGGCTTTGTGATGAACTTTTTGCACCTTTCTTGGCTCTTCCCGTCGCCAGCTTTGCACTTTTCCTGGATTGATGCACTTTTTGCGACCCCGAACGTGACAACAGCAAAACTAGTACCCGAATCGCGGTTCCGCTTCGCTAGTGTCGAGCGATGGTGGACAAGGTTTCGCTTGGTTGGGCTGGCTAAGGGCTTCAAACGAGGGCTGTACCGAAGTCATACAGTCATTCCCCGGATATAAGACCATGTGGGCTTCAAGAAGAAACCATGTATGAGCTGATAATCGACTAATTTCTTTAGGCCCAAGCAGGGCCTCAGATTCACTTTTAGGGTCGTCAGGCCATCAGGGTCCCCCTGCGTGGGAACTCTGATTGTCAGTGTCCCAAAAAAAAAAAAGCTGAAAGTTCAGTGTTGCAAATTTTCAAAGCCTGATGCATCAGTGTACCATTTGCAAAAACACTGACTGTATTTCAGACTCCTACATTTAAAATAAATAGTCACAAGAAGAGTTGCTGCAGTTATAATCTAAGAATCTCTAATAGGGGTCATGCATGCATCATCATCGGAATCAGAGCCATCATCATCATCACCCCCCTGAGCCTTTGGCTCTGCTTCCCACTCCTGTACTGCCTCTGCCTCCTTTCCCCTGCCACTACCCTGCCCCTCTCTTGCTGGAGCTGCTGCCACATTGCCAAAGGGCCGGCGCTTCTTGTAGCTGCGCCAGACCTGCACGATTTCGTTGTAGTCGGGCACGTACTCGAGGAGCGACATCGTGACGAGATCTTCAAGGCGGGCGTCTTTGAGGCTCCCACGCTGCCACGACTTGATGATGTTTTGGCGGGAAAACCCGCGCTCACATTCCACTGTGCTCAGCGGCAGTACGGCGACAGCGACCCAGAGACGCACAAGGTTGGGGTAGCTGGTCGTCCAGTCGCTTGTCTTCAGCATCGCAGTGAGGCCGGCATGGAAGCTTCTCTCGGTCTTCGGGGCACCTGCGAGGATGGGGCAAAAGGCTCGCAGCTCTTTGATCGCCCGGCGCTTGTCGATCCCTGCCAGACAAAGCAGATAAGTGATCGTTAGGATGACTGACCAACAGGGCAGAGGCAGACACCAACACAGAACTTTACGTTCAAAATGTTACGCTGAGTACAGCACTGGTGCACAATCAATAAACACGTACCAGGAAGGATGTAGTCTGTCTCCACTGCCCTGAACAGCCTGACGAGTGACATGAGCCACTCGAGACACTGCTTGTGGCGCTCTCCTCTCTCTGGTGGGTACTCATCGGGCATGAACAGCCGGACTCCCACAAGGGAGTCCAAATCTGCAAACCTCTTGGTGAGGTTGCGCACGAGCGCCTCTGCAAACGAGGTGCAGAGATCCACGCAGTTGTAGTGATTTCCCAGCGTTGGGTAGTCCTCGCTCGGGTTCTCGTGCAGTTTGAACGTGTGTTTAGTGGGCCGACCGTCTGAGTCCACTCCTTGCACCGTCACCTCGGGGTTGTCACTGTCCGGCCCGTACTTCATGATGAACGGGGACAGGCGCGCGCTCAACCCGCCCCCAAAATCATCGCCGCAGTCGACGTAGCGGGTCTCTAGGAAGGAGATGGTTCTCCTGATCTGCGCGTGCACACCTGCAATGTCAAGCTATGTTTGGGCGAAAGAAATAACATTGCGGGAAACACGGCAGTCGAGATTGGGGGTGCTTTCTCACACAAATAATGTTTTGTTTGACTGTCAACAATATAACTGCAATGACAAACACACACAGAAGCCACAAATACAATAACAAGACATCAAGACAAGTTAAGCACACACGGAAACGCCAAGTCGCTCACCTCTCGCTGCTGGAAAGACTTGTTCAGGATGTTCAGCTGCTCGAGCACGTCGGCCAGGAAGTACAAGAGGAAGTGAAACCTGTAGCTCGTGGCGAGCTCGTACAGCGTCTCGTCCCACTCGTACAGCATGACGATGATCGCGGGGAAGACGGCCACCAGACGCAAAACAGCGTCACCCCTGGAGAGCCAGCGGACCGTGTGAATCCCCTGAAGCTCCAGGTTCGTGGACGTGAAGAGTTCTTGAAGCTCCATAAAGCGTTGATGCCAGGGGCCGGAACGGCCGAGATGCTCTGCGAGTTGACGGATCAGGCTGTCAACCATGTCGAACTCGGGAAGGGCCCGGGCTGCATGTTTTGCTGCGAGCGCCTCCCTGCAGGCACAAGAAAACCCAAGCGAGCAACACAGGATATTAGCATAGGATGATACAGTCACGTCAAGGAGTTTACGCATGGTGCAACAAAAAACGTACCTGTGGGCAACACAGTGGCTTGAGACGAGATGTGGAACGCGGAGGCGAAGCCGTACGACGAGGCCGTTCTTGCGTCCCATCATCACCTTCGCCCCATCGGTGCTTATACCAGCGATCCGGGCAAGGTCGATGCCGAGAGCCTGCAAGTGAGACAGAAACACTGAGAGGAGAGATGCAGCGTCGCACTTCTCCACAGTCAGCAGGGCCAGAAACTCAGTGACCGGTCGATTCTCACGGATGAAAGTAACGAAAAGGATCATGTGTTTTCCTCGACACCTGTCTGTGCTCTCGTCACAAGTGAGTCCGATGTACGGGCTTGCTTGGATGTGCTCGAGCTGCGTGGTGTGTAACCATGTCGCGATTGACTGTGTGAGCTGGCCAAAGCCGTACCTGTGGCGCATGTGAATCACGGTTAGAGCGTGCCCAAAAGTTAAACACACACAACTCGAAGAACATGAAAACCCGGCGTTTACTCACGTGGTGTAGTAGGTGCCGTATCCTTTCGCGGGAAATCCCGGCACCTTCTGCTCCGCGAGGTAGCGAACGAGGTTCACCCATAGTTCTATGGGTGCATCCTGCTTGGTCACGAAGAGGAGGGAGTCACACAGCTTGATGACCCGCTCCTTCTCGGTGTCACGAGCGAGGTTGTCACCGTTGATACGCGGCTGCCGGCCAGCTTCAGCAAGAAGCTTCGCCTGGTTCTTGACCGCCTCCTTGTGCTTGGTTGTTTGCGCGTGCCGCTTGAACGCCTGAGTCTGTACGTCTGAGGCGCCCTTCCCGCCTTTCCCGCACTTTCCAGCATAACCTGCATGCTCGGTACAGATAGAGCATTTGAAAGCAGGGAGACCGTCAGATTGCCGCAGTAGAATTAGCCACTCAAACCTCTCCAGCCACTCAGCCTTGTACTTATACAGAGCCTCGGCGTAGAGCGCGTCGCGTCCAGACTGCTTCGAAGGACCTGGAACAGATGGCGACTCCTGCGTTTTTGTTATCACGGGCGACGACCGTTGGTCGGTTGGCGCAGGCACAGTAGCCCCGTCGACTGCGGCCTTAGGAATGAATGGCAGCGTTGACTGCGTGTATCGGCCGGTTTTCTTGGCCTCTGGTTCAGGAGTGGTATTGTCAGCTGGAGGCGGTGAACTGTCTTGCTCGATGTCTGGCGCTGACGGGGACGCACAGAGCGGCTCCAGATCTATGTGCTCGAACGGTATCTTGTCTGGCGGCTCTAGTTCAGGTTGCCTCTCATTGACGTTGACCTGCGCTAAGCCTGAAAACAACAGGTCGATGCCGGTCACAGCTTCTGTACGGTCTACATGCGGCTGGCGATGCGCAGCACCGGCGTGGTCGCCGTTTCTTTCCGTGCCATCAAGCTGCTCCGCCATGGTAAGCAGCGCGTACGGCCTCGCATCTAACCTAGAGACAACTGCGAAGGCAAGGGATTGCAAGCGCAAAACTCAGGCCTCGGCTGGCTGCCTCCTGGTACACTAGGGTGAACGAGGGAAACCCTGGTTCTGATGCAAAGGTTGGACAAGAAGGGTGGCGGAAACGGTGGGTGGGCTGGGCGGCGTGGAGGCATCATCATCTCACCCCGACTTCAAGAAGGATGGCACGGTGCTTGCCAGCACAGCCCAACCCTAACGCACCGCACATGATGGGTACGGGGCAGGAACCTTGGCAGCCCGCCAGCACCACATGTCTGCCAAGTTAGGACTGGCCAACACTGGATGCTGCAGCGAAACTGCCCAATGGTGTGAGAGGCGACGCGCCAAAAAAACACCAGCCAAAGTGAACCTGAGGCAACATTGGTCCTGCCCCGGGGTGCCCACGTACAGGGAATGTGAGATTCCCTGTAATTGCGGGCGAGGTAACATGGCACAGGTGAGATTCGCTTTCAGTGTCGGTTTCGTTACAACGTAGTGGCATCAGTGTTCCACGGGAAAAAAACCTGGAAAATCAGTGTGGCCAAAAAAAAAAACCTGAAAGATCAGTCCAACAAAAATCCCAACTCTGAAAGTTCAGGGTAGCTTAAAAATCGGCTGCCAAAATCAGGAATTTCAGGGTTTTTTTCCTGATATCTGAGGCCCTGGGCCCAAGGGCTACGGTATTTTGCCTACTGGATTCAATGCAGAGAGACATGTGAACTTGCTGACCAGAATGTGACATTTTTACACACCACCATCGCATCCTACAGTTGAGGCAGAAGCACCACATAGAAGCTACACAAGAGACCAGAATCTAGTACCGGTACTAACAGTCTGAAGATGCTCCATTTGGGAAGCCTAGAAGGGACATGAGACGAGGCCATCACACAAGCTGGCCAACAGGAGCTTCTGTCATCCATAGGTCCTGAATGAAATTGTACAGCCTGTCCGTCACACTTATCTGCCACACAATATTCATGAGCACACCATGCATGTGTAGGCGCACAGGGGCACACAATGCATGCATTGATGTGAGAATGTTGAAATGCAGAGACAGACGCATCCAGAAGCATGATGGAAGAGCATGCAACAGTGCATACAACCACCCAGTCCCGCCATTCACAAAACGCCACAAACATATGCCCATACATCCACTCACCAAGTGGCTATACATGGCCATGCAAAGCAAGCACGTGGGTGCAAGTGTTGAGAGAGCAGGGGGCAGGGAGGGAGGCATGACCTTGTAGGGCGTGGGGTTGAGTCCGCGTATATGGTCGGGGCGCAGCCCTGTGATCTGCTGCCGGCACCGCTCCCTCACGTCCACCAGCGCTGGCAGCCGCTCCACGCCCTCACTCTCCTCCTCCACCTGCCCATCCGGTAATGCTGGCAGCGGAGGTAGCGCGAGGCAGAAATGGAGGTGGGAGAGTGGGTGGGGAGAGGGAGAGACACAGAATGGGGGAGAGGGCAGGAGCAGAAGATGGAGCAGGAAAGAAGCTCACTTCCCCGGTTATAATCCACATAACAGCCCAGGCTTGCACTCACAGAATTGCTTTCCCCGCCAGAAGCAGCGGTACAGTGGCTCGACTCGGTGCGGCACCACGTAGGCACGCTTGGACTGGCTGAAGGGGTGCCGGCACAGGATGCGCTCGCCCACCTGCTCTCCCCCGCACCCACACCACGGGGATGGCATGGCATAGTGCCCAGGGGAGGAGACAATGAGCAGGCTGCTGATAAGCCCTGACACACACTATCATGGCAAAACAGTTACGACTGAGAATGTATGTGCATGTCTATAATGTACTAACATTCTCAAAAAAAAAACTATCATGGCAAACCAGGCAAACTTGCAAACGAGCAGTGGCAGCCATGAGCATGGAGCAACAGTGATAATGGCACGTGACGTGCATGCTGTGCAGTGTACTAATGGCATCTACAGGCACGGGCAGAGGGACACGGTGGTGCAGCAGTGGTGTGCGCATGTGTGGTGACTGACCTGAGGGCGCGGGTCCGATGGCATCATGAGCAGGTCCACTAGCGGGTAGCCCTCCCTGCCGTACAGCCGATAGCACACCTTCTTTCCCGGGATCGTCACCTGCATGCGCCCACACAGCAGTGCGGGTGATAATGGCGAGAAAGTGGGAGGGACGGGGGGGGATGAGGGAAGGTAGTAGGATGATTGTATCGTGATATCCGCACGCACTTGTTTCATCAAGTGCTGTGTGGGGAATGGCAGGCAGCATGACTAACGAGGAACAGGGACAAGAACACCTCCACATCGCATCACAAGGAGCACAGCAGCACACGTCGCATGCTGCTATGTACCCAAGCATTCACAACCCACCCCCTCCCACTCACTCACAACCCACCCCCTCCCACTCACTCACACCCCACCCCCTCCCACTCACTCACAACCCACCCCCTCCCACTCACTCACAACCCACCCCCTCCCACTCACTCACAACCCACCCCCTCCCATTCACTCACAACCCACCCCCTCCCACTCACTCACAACCCACCCCCTCCCACTCACTCACAACCCACCCCCTCCCATTCACTCACAACCCACCCCCTCCCACTCACTCACACCCCACCCGCTCCCACTCACTCACAACCCACCCCCTCCCACTCACTCACAACCCACCCCCTCCCACTCACTCACAACCCACCCCCTCCCACTCACTCACAACCCACCCCCTCCCATTCACTCACAACCCACCCCCTCCCACTCACTCACAACCCACCCCCTCCCACTCACTCACAACCCACCCCCTCCCATTCACTCACAACCCACCCCCTCCCACTCACTCACACCCCACCCGCTCCCACTCACTCACAACCCACCCCCTCCCACTCACTCACAACCCACCCCCTCCCACTCACTCACAACCCACCCCCTCCCACTCACTCACAACCCACCCCCTCCCATTCACTCACAACCCACCCCCTCCCACTCACTCACAACCCACCCCCTCCCACTCACTCACAGCCCACCCCCTCCCATTCACTCACAACCCACCCCCTCCCACTCACTCACAACCCACCCCCTCCCACTCACTCACAACCCACCCCCTCCCATTCACTCACAACCCACCCCCTCCCACTCACTCACACCCCACCCGCTCCCACTCACTCACAACCCACCCCCTCCCACTCACTCACACCCCACCCCCTCCCACTCACTCACACCCCACCCCCTCCCACTCACTCACACCCCACCCACTCCCACTCACTCACACTCCACCCACTCCCACTCCCCCGTGCTGCACCCAGTGCATGTGCTGTCCACGCCAATCACCTTTTCAAAGTCCTGGCTGAGCTTGATGCGCGGCTGGCCGTTGATCTCCACCAGCTTGTACACACACCCCAGCGCCGGCTGCTTCACACACGTCACCAGGTGCGTGCCGATGCCAAACGCGTCTATCTCATGGCCCTGCACGCCCATGCACACGCCCATGCATAGCAAGAGGAACAAGAAACGCGAGTGGCTCACAAAAGAAAGAAAGAAGGGTGTGGGGCACGGGCAGAGTGGTGACAACACGCAGAGGCGGGTGGTGGAGAGACAATGTGAGTGTGCGGGGAGAGGCGTGTGGTGTGCAGTGGGCGACCTGCTTGTTGAGCGCCTCCAGAGTGGCCTCGTTGATGTCGCTGCTGGCTGTGATCACGGCCGCGCTCAGCCCGTCCGCATGGAACAAGGCCTCGCAGTGGCGCAGGAAGAGGCGCGCCTGCTGTGACAGGTACGCCAGGTCGCCCGAGTCCAGGCGAATGCCCACCGCCCGGTACCTGCCACGTGCACGCAGTCAGCACGGCGGGAGTGGGCAGGGCGGGAGTGGGCAGAGCGGGAGTGGGCGGGGCAGGAGTGGGCGGGGCAGGAGTGGGCGGGGCAGGAGTGGGCGGGGCGGAGAAGAGGCATGGTGAGAGTTGAAGTGGAGACGTGGGTGCATGCAGACAGCGTGTGACTGGTGGAGCTGCTCAGTGCTGCGAGAAGATTGGAAAGTTGCACACTTCCAAAGCCAAGCGGCGAGGGTTGCAGCAGTGGCTGTACACATGTTCCCCACCTGCTCCACGTGGGGTGCTTTATAGCAATGTGCACACACCAGTGGGTGCCAGAGAGATGGGAGAACCACTGCGGGCGTCAAACACCACAACACGACGAGCTAGCAGTTACCCTTGGGTGATGCCCGTGCCATGCCTGCCAGCACGCCAGCACACCAGTCCTCCTACCATCACCATCCCCCGCTCACCAACATGCGTGCGAGCACAAGGAAGCTCGAAATGTGTCCTTTACCTTTTACCCCCTCCGTGAATCCGATCTGTTTCTACAGCTTGTGAACCTCGTAAGGGTCTGACAGTGACACGCACGGGCCAGAAGCAGCTACGCATGGTGTTGTGAGACCCGCTGGTACACGTGGAAGAGCTAGTGCATGACAACCGACTAGGTGCAGCGTGCAGCTTGCACATGGGGACTGAGCAAATCGGCAGGCATGTGATGCGATGAGCAACGGGCAAAGCAGGAAGGCGCCCACCCCAGCTGGTGCAGTGCGAGGGCGACAGCACAGTAGTTGGGCACTCCACTGCGCAGCACCTGGCAGAGGGCAGAGGGCGTTGTGAGGATGGCAACAAAAGTACCAGATGAGTGTTGGCACAAAGCACACACAAGAAAGTGCTGCTCTCATTCACCCATGCACTTGATAGCACACAGCACACAGATGACGAGACAAGAGTGCAATGAAATGAGGGTGAACTGCCACACCGGGTGGGCATGCCAGGGTTCACCACTCACATGCCATGCTTCACCACTCACATGCCATGCTTCACCACTCACATGCCATGCTTCACCACTCACATGCCAGGCTTCACCACTCACATGCCATGCTTCACCACTCACATGCCATGCTTCACCACTCACATGCCAGGCTTCACCACTCACATGCCAGCCTGCATTACCCTGCCAAGCACCCGGCAGGTTTGTCCAAGCCCTTGTCTCCTCTCCCCACACACCAGCCCCTAGCATGGCAGTGCGCACAATGGCAGCGCCGCAACCCAAATGGTGGATCCATGACAGCCTGACTCGCTCAAGCCAACGCAGCTGAACAGGCCACACTCCAGCATGCCACGCGCTTACTCACCCACTCAACCTCAACGCCCATGTGGCGAGCCGCACATTGGCCTTGCGGATCCGGGTTGATGGCACAGCATGGCACAGCATGGCACATGGCGGCAGCAGGGCAGGCACTGCAGTGCAGGCACTCACATCGTAGGTGTCGACGAGAGCCTGGAAGTGCGTGGGGAAGGCCAGCGCGTATGAGGTGAACGCCGCCAGCTCGCTCTGATTGGTCTCCGCAAACAGGTCCCTCAGCTTCTCACTCTCCTGCATGGCAGCAACGGGTCCACCAGCAACGTAGCAGCAGGCAGCACGTGCAGTGCATGGGGCCACAGCGAAGCGCATGTGCACACATGGCAGCAGACCAACAGAGAAAGTAACAGTTGAGACAGCAAACGGGGCAGCGAGGGGGTGGAAATGGGGGCAGCAAGGGGGGCAGGGAGGGGCGCAGGTAGGGGCAGGGAGGGGCGGACCTGCATGCGGTGCAGGAAGGAGAGCACAAGCGCCACGAAGTCCGCGCACACGTGCGAGGCATCTGCTGCTGGCAGCGCGCGCTCCTTGATCTCATCCAACGCCTGCTCTCACACATGCGCTCATGGGCAGAGCCGTGGTGGAGAGGGGGCGACGCGCACACACATGGACGGCCAGGGCGTGTCACATGGGAAGGGGCAGGTGGCGAGGAGGTCGGGTGGCGCCGTGCATGTATGATGAATGCATGGGCAGGGCATGACACAGCCATGCGCGGAGCGGCAGGTGGAGGCACATACAAGGACAAGGGGAGGCGAGCGAGTGGGCATACGAGGAAGGAGGAGACGAAGGCATGCGAGTGAGTGCCCTTGACAGGAATGTTGAAGATGCGCCCCGCCTCCACATTGCTGCTCCCCGCGCCCACACACGCGCCGCCCACATGGCGGTGGCCCAGAGGACGGAGGGGTCGAAAGGAAAAAGGTGACGAGGCCGTATTATTTAAGGAAACGTGCACATAGCTAGGGTAAATGGTTGAAAAGAAAAAAACAAGGGGGGCAACAGAAAGCAGGGTACGGCGAGCAGGGCAGCAGGTGGGGAAGCTGGAGACATGTTATGTGTGTGTGAATGCAAGGCAAGTGAAGGCACGGTGCAGAGTGCACGTGGTGGCCGTGTGGTGCGCCCACCTGGTGGCATCGAAGCCACCCATGAAGCAGTAGCGCGATGCTGACACTGCACCATCAGGACCCTGCCACGCACACACGAGGCCATGGAACAATTTCACAACAAAGAGAGGGTGTCGGCTGAAACCAACATGCATTGGCCTGCCTCAGTCTCGTCATGGCAGTGTTCTGCCTGGCATGTGCTGCTTGCCATGTGCGGACCATAAAAGTTAGAACATAACAACGCAGTTGGGCACGGGCATTGAGAATAAGTTAAAGAGCAAGGCGGAGGAGGGAGAACAGAGCAGCATGGAGGAGTGGGTAGGGAGGTGAAATGGTGGGTTGCGGGGGGGGAGGGGAGAGGGGGGGGGGAAGCAGCAGTGGGGCAGCAGGGCGTGCACACACTGAGTGCAGCAGACGACGTGCAAGGAGAGAAGTGGGCGAGCAGTGAGACAGCGACCTGGGCGCGTCGGAGGCCGAATTCAAAGAGCATCTTGTTGGGCCCCGCCACTTGCCGGTGGCGAGCGGCGTTGGTGGCCACGAGCGACGCGTAGTTGACGAGCACCAGCAGCGTCGTCTCCAGCAGCTGCGCCACCTGCCATGCACAGCACGGACAAGCACACACGTGCACAGGCAGTCATAATGTGGCGCATGGCAGGCAGGAAAGAAGGCTAGTAGTGGAGCGGATAAAAGCACGGGGAAGAGATGCGCATGCTGCTGCTTACTGCTGCTGCCAGTGCAGGTGCAATAGGGAGAGAGAGTCGGCAGGAACGTACGAGGAGAGGGCCTTCGACACGCATGAGCGGCACGCGGGGGAAGGCGACGTATCCCTCTGGCAGGGCCATGATGCGGATGGTGGAGCAGTCGAGCGTCAACAGATAGTCAAAGAACGCGTCCTGCCATGCCCCCCCCACACGCGCTCCACGCACACACACACGCACACACGCACACACACACGCACACACGCACACACACACGCACACACACACACACGCACGCACGCACGCACGCACACACGCACACACGCACACACACACGCACACACGCACGCACGCACGCACACACCCCCTCTCCCCCTCCTACCCTCTCCCCCCCCCCCCCCACCCCCCCACCCCCCCACACACACACGCACGCACACCAAAAAGGTTTTGACAAGGTTGACGTACAAAAACAGGGGAAGCAGGGAAGTGACGCACTTGGAGTAGGGAGCGGACGAGAGGGAGAGAAAAGGTGAGACACAGGGGGACAGGCAAAGGGAGACACAGAGAGGAAAGCTTTCTATGATGTCGTGCATGTGCGGCAACCCATAACGGCGGGTGCACGGGAGAGAGTGGCGGAAGTGGTGCGGAAGCGAGGAGAGGAGGGCTGCCACCAGAGCACGCGCAAGACCCCCTGCACGCTGCCCGCCCTCCTCTTGAACTCGCCACACGTGGGTACGAGGAGAGGCAGGGTGGGCGGCGCACCTCGCACGAGGGCGGCATGATGGTGCGCAGGTACGCGACGTCAGCCTGTGAGTATCGGAAGTTGGCGACGAATCGCACGCACTCCTCGAGCCCCGCGAACAGCGTGTACTCGCCGCCGAACGGATTCTTGCGGAACAGCAGGTCGAACCTGCAGGGGGCGCGCCGGAGCGGTGCACGCGCATGGAGACAGTCGGGGCGGGGAGGAGGACGAGAGGACACGCGGTGGGTGCGGAATCTCGCTAAAGCGGAGCGCACAAGTGTCGCGCGCAACAGATCACTGCGAGGTCAGGCGCGAGGGGGTTGGAGGGATGATGATAGAAGCAGGTGAGGTTTCGCGCGGAAGGGGAAGCGCGGGAGAGCGCGTACACGGCGTGGTCGTTGTGCTTCTTCGCCTTCCAGTAAGCGTACGCCATGGTCAACTGGTACATATCCGTCAGCAGTGACGTCACCATCGGGTCGGTCGGCGGCAGCACGCGCCGCTCCTCCGTGTCAGTGGAGTCGGAGTGATCGAGAGCGCCCGCCAGCCGCGCGCCTGTCAGCCCGTCCGCTACGTGCTCGATCGCCGGTAGCTCGCTCGAAGGACTCTGCTTCTTCGCCCGCCCTTCCACGCAGCCGTTGCTGTTCGATAAAATACCGTCCATCGCAAGCGCTCAGAGATAACGGAGGCGCAATGAAGGGACGAAACTCCCAGGGACGGATCCCCCTGAGTGGTTGGTTCTACAAGGCGAAGTCACGGCGAGAAGCGAGCTTGATTAGCAGCTGAAGTGGGAATCACGTAGACAAGGAACGCGTTGGCAGCGTTGTTCTGGCTTACATGCAGGCAGGGCAGAAGCGCATGCAGAGGCAGCACTAGCATGCAGGAGCTAAGGGGTGGAAGTGTGATGGTGTGGTAGGAAGCCTCTGCTGTTGCGAACAAATCAAGGCGGCCAAATAACAGCGACGATGAAACCGAGGCGAGGGAACTTGGGGACGAGATTGATTGGACACAAAAACATCATCTCCCGTGGCGGCAAGTTGTGGAAACCGGTCTATCAAGTTGTTTTGTTCATGGCGTAGTGTTATAATTTGTACTATTGTAAGGAATTTCCCTTTTCCTTCGCGTCCCTGCTCAACGCGTACACCACTGTTCCCGCCAACAGCACCCAACAGTAATCCGTTACCACTCGCGACATTCGCCTCGACACTGTTCACGCCACTGTTTACGACGCGACCCAACCTCACGGTTCAGTTGGTAACCCGCGCTCCGGACCTTCGCCTCGTCATTTCCCAACCTCGACGCCAGGCCCGTCGCGTACCTCATTTTCACGCATCACCATTACCACTGTAATTTCGCTATATATTCTTCGCTCATGCCTTCACTCATTATACTCTTGCTTCGATAGTGCAATCTTCGTTCGTTCACTCAATTGCACTCGTAACACTTGGTATTCAGAGCCTACGATATCTTCTCGGGCCGCTCCCACACCTTCGCTTCCCCACTATCTCAATTTTTGGGGGGCTAGACGTCTCTTAGCGAAACAAGCACCGTCGCTCGTAGTGCTCTCTCGTAAGCACGCACGGCCACGACAGAGGCCCTCGCTGAGCTTGCCCGACACCCCCGCCATGGCCGAATTCACTCGCGCGACACTGACGCAGGAGAAATTCGACCATGTAGTGCGCCAAAACGAAGACTCGGCGCTCGAGATTGCGACACTCACGGCGGAACGCGACCCAGCTCGTCAGCAATCCACGGTGAATGCTCAAGCGCCACCACACGCACCTGCAAATGCACCCGCACAATCGGAGGAGCCGATCGTCATTTCATCAGGCACACCGGCACAAAATGACAGCGTGGGTCAGCGCTCAGGCGCAGCCAGTGATGGCGCCGCTCAATCGATGCCTGACATGGAGAGCAACAAGGCTGCGCCAAGCCCGCGGGAGCCTCGTGAAGCTCGTCGGCATATGGAATTCGCGGCGACAAGTGGCGACCACGCCATCATGGCACCAATGCCACTCAAGCCGCAGCGCCCGCCCTGCTTCGACCCGAGCCAGCGTGGAGGTCCGACGGTTCAATCATGGGTCTTCACGACGAACGTCTTCTTCGACGCGAATTACGTCGAGTCGGACGCAGCGAAGATCTGATACGCCGTCTTGTCAAATTATATGTTTAAAGTTATCTAGGCTGTAGTGGGTTTAGCTTTAGGGGGTACATAATTTTGCTCGGTACTTCTTTGTATCCCCCTCCTTGCCCTAATCATCACCATACCTTGATACTATTTTCACATGGTATTAAGAGCCAGGACGTTCCTAGCCTAGGACGAATTTTTTTAGGGCCCACCGCTAAACTCCGTGTTCCTGCCCGAACCGCGTTCTCTGCTTTTTTCTGCCCGAAATGCGCCCTTAGGTGCATCGATTTTCGCTGCCCCGCAGCCCTGCCCTGTCCAGTCGCGCGTAGCCCGTGAGCAGCCCGTACAGCCCCCGTCTGGCCTTCGCGCCGCCCGTACAGCCCGCGCCACGCCCGCGCGCGGCCTGTATAGCCTACGTTAGGCCCGCGTGTGGCCCGTACAGTCAGCGCTAGGCGTTAGCGCAGCCCGTACAGGCCACGTCAGGCCCGAGAGTGGCCCGTACAGTCCGCGCTAGGTATTCGCGCAGCCCGTACCGGCCACGTCAGGCCCGCGCGCGGCCAGTACAGCCCACGCCAGGCCTACACGCTGCACTGCGCCTGTGGTACTACTCTACCACTACTTCTACTTGCTGCAGCTGCTTCTACTTGCTGCCGCTGCTGCTACTTGCTGCAGCCGCCCCTGCAGCAGCCGGCCTTGGCCCCTGAGCAGCCGCCCCTGCAGCAGCCGCCCCTGGCCCCTGGAGCAGCCGCCACTGCAGCAGCCGCCCCTGGCCCCAGGAGCAGCCGCCCCTGCAGCAGCCGCCTCTGGCCCCTGGAGCAGCCGCCCCTGCAGCAGCTGCCCCTGGCCCCTGGAGCAGCCGCCTCTGGCCCCTGGAGCAGCCGCCCCTGCAGCAGCCGCCCCTGGTCCCTGCAGCAGCCGCCCCTGGCCTCTGGAGCAATCGCCCCTGCAGCAGCCGCCCCTGGCCCCTGGAGCAGCCGCCCCTGCAGCAGCCGCCCCTGGCCCCTCGAGCAGCCGCCCCTGTAGCAACTGCTGCGGAGCCCCTAGTCGCAGTCGTGGCCCCGCCCTGCAGCAGCTGTCGCGGAGCTCCCTGCCGGGGTTGCGGCCCCGCCCTGCAGCTGTAGCGGCCCAGCCGTCGCCGCCGTCTTGCGCCTGACCTTCCCACCACTGGTCAGCACTTCCCTGCCCGCGCTTCTACAGCTGCTACTGCTGCTACTGCTGTTACTGCTGCTACCGCTGCTACTGCTGCTACCGCTGCTACTATTGCTACTGCTGTTACTGCTGCTACTGCTGCTCCTGGCGTGGCTAGATGCAGCTCCAGGGCCGTCCGCGTGCGACCCTAACGCCCCAGCAGCTTCGTGAGTGGTACGCTAGTTGGGGTTGTCGAGGTGGCCGTCGTGGGAGTCGTCCTGGAGTGGGTAGTTTGGGAGCTTCTGGTAGTAGCCAGTTGCAGCTGCAGCGTCGTCCTCGCAAGGCTCTTTCGTCCCAGCAGCTTCGTGAGTGGTACGCTCAGAGTAGAAGGTCACTGCGTACTGCTTGCTGCCCGTACGTCATTCGCACGGGTGTCTGGACTGATCAGCCTTGCGGGACACCTGGTCACACAGAGTACCGCTGCTTCGCCCGTCTGAGCGACGCTTGGCGTACAGAGTTTGGTGACGCTGCTGAGCTCCCTTCCTGGCTGGAGCTGCTTAGGCAGAGGGTAGATATCTTTGCTCCTGACTATGATGCTATCCTTAGTGCCATGTATGCATTGTCTACTAGTGCTGAGGGTGCCTGTCACCTGTGTGTGCCGCCTGACCCCGGTATTCAGTCTGCTGCTCTAGGTGCTGGTGAGGCTACTGCCCTAGGTGCTGGTGCGTCTCGTGCTCCAGGTACCGGTGAGGCTGCTGCTCTAGGTGCTCGTGCGTCTCCCGCTCCAGGTGTTGGTAAGGCAGCTGCTCTAGGTGCTGGTGAGTCTGCTCTCTCTGGTGCTGCGCCTGCTGCGGTCTCGCACACCTTCACCCTTGACTCAGGTGCTTCCCGCTCCTTCTTTAGAGACCGCACCACACTCACGCCGCTTGGTCGGCCAGTTGCAGTCTCCCTGGCAGACCCCTCTGGGGGTCCTTTCCTTGCTCACTACTCCACTGTCCTACCATGTCCGGCGGCCCCTTCTGGCTCCCTGTTAGGTCTTTACATCCCCTCGTTCTCTACGAACTTGGTGACTGGTGCTGACCTACAGGATGGGGGGGTTGACCAGTTCACTCCTGCGAGTCAGCAAGTGACCCACTACACGTGTGCTCGGACGAGCCGACACTTGGCCACGTTTACCCGTTAGCCGGGGTCGAGCCTGAAAACACTGACTACTGAGTCTCCTCCGGTTGCTGCGTCTGGTCAGGTAGCTGCGTCAGGTCAGGTGTTTGCTGCAGCGTCCAGGTCTGGTTCTGAGTCTGCCCCCTGCTCGTGTTGTCTCCTGTCTCACGAGACTCTCCTCTGGCACCACCGCCTTGGTCACCCCTCCTTGCCTCGTCTCCGAGGCATGGCCTCCCGTGTCCTAGTCTCTGGTCTCCCCCGGTCCCTCCCTCCCCTTCCCCCGGGGCCTGCCCCTACCTGCGTTCCCTGCGTCGAGGGGCGGCAGCGCGCCGCTCCTCACTCCTCAGAGTTTCCTCCGACAGAGGCTCCGCTGCAGACTCTCCACATGGGCGTGTGGGGCCCAGCCCGCGTCCGTGGACAGGGTCACGAGCGTTACTTCCTGCTGGTGGTTGACGACTAGTCGCATTACACCACAGTCTTCCCCTTGTGCAGCAAGGTTGAGGTCACTGCGGTGTTGATCGTGTGGATCCGCGCTGCCCGTCTCCAGCTCAGAGAAAGTTTCGGCTCGGACTTTCCTGTTCTACGTCTGCACTCCGACAAAGGTGGAGAGTTTTCTTATGACCTTCTGCGAGCCTTCTGTCGTGCACAAGGCATCCGCCAGACGTTCACGCTTCCGGCCTCTCCACAACAAAATGGGATTGCTGAGCGCTGCATTGGCATGGTCATGGACGTCGTTCGTACGTCCATGATCCATGCGGCTGCTCCCCATTTTCTGTGGCCGTTCGCGGTTCAGTACGCGGCGCATCAGATCAACCTTCAGCCCCGGGTCTCCGTGCGGGAGACCTCCCCTACTCTGCGGTGGACGGGGAAGGTAGGCGATGCGTCTGCGTTCCGTGTCTGGGGATCTCGAGCTTTCGTCCGCGACTAGTCTGCGGAGAAGCTGTCCTCCCGTGCTGTTCCCTGCGTCTTCCTTGGCTTCCCCCCTGACGCGCCTGGTTGGCAGTTTTACCACCCCACCTCGCGCCATGTTCTGTCCTCCCAGGACGTCACGTTTGACGAGTCGGTTCCTTAGTACCGTCTCTTCCCCTACCGTGCTACCTCCCTCCCCCCCCCGCCGCTCTTCCTCGCGCCAGGTCCCCCCCCGGTAAACCCCCTCCCCCCTCAGGGTCCTACCCCTTCAGATGTGTCCTTGGTAGACGCAGTCGAGCCTGTCGAGGTAGCTGTTGACTCTGGTGCTGCTAGGGGTGCTGAGCGTGCGGGTGCCGTGTCCAGGGGTGCTGAGCTGGAGCGTGCGGAGCCTGGGGGTGCTGAGTCTGGGGGTGCTGAGCCTAGGGGTGCTGAGCCTGGGGGTGCTGAGCCTGGGGTTGCTGAGTCTGGGGGTGCGGAGCCTGAGGGTGTTGAGCCTGCGCGTGTGGAGTCTGGCGGTGCTGGGCCTGGAGGTCCTTCGGGTTCTTCGTCCCGGCGGGAGCTACCCTCTCCACAGAAGCTGCAGGAGTGGTTTTCTCGGCGCTGGAGACGCGCTGCTGGAGCTGGTGGTGCTGCCGGAGCTGGAGGGTCTACTGCTACTGAGGGTGCTGGAGCCACAGGTCCCGGAGGTGCTCGTACTGGAGGTACTGGAGCTGCTGGGCCTGGTGGTGCTCCTGGTGCTGGAGCTGCTGCGTCTTCCGGTGGTCCTGCTGGAGCTGGAGCTGCTGGAGGTGCTGGAGCTGGAGGTGCTGTTGGAGCTGGTGCTCCTGTGGGTGCTGGAGTTGGCGCTACTGGAGCGGCTGGTGGTGCTGCTAGAGCTGGTGGAGCTGCTGGGGTCGGAGCTGCCGCTGGGGGTGCTGGTGCTATCCCTACTAGTTTTGGAGGTGCTGCGCGGCCACGACCGTACTTCGTTCCGCTCCTTGAGCAGGTTCTTGGTCTTCCGCCTTCTACTGGTCATGCTCCTTCCTTAGAGTGTCCACAACCTGTCCAGTCCGAGTCTCAGTTACAGTTGGCCTCCCCACTGCCTGCTCCTTCTCCCTACACAGGTCCTACTTGGGGTCTTGCTGAGCGTTGTGAGCCTGAGTCTCGTCCCGCGTCGCCTGTTCGTGCTGCTCGCACTGGTCGTCGTGTTCCGCGTCAGCGTCCTCCTGCGGTCCCGGGCACGCACCAGATGGCACTGCGTCCCTCCACTGCTCCACATCGTGTCCCCTTGCCGTCTCCTCCAGAGTTCTCTCTTCCTGCCCTTGCTGACCCGGAGTCTGACTCTCTTCGTGCTGCCAGTCCTACTGTCACGCATCTCCTGGCTAGTGTTGTCACTGACCCTTCCTTTGGGTCCACTGTTGCGTCTGCCTTGGTTGCTGAGCTTGTCGACTTCGCTGCTCACTGTCGTCTAGACTACGCTGCTAGTCTTGTTGCTGAGTCTGAGTCTGTCTGTCCTCCGTTGACGACGAGGCGGAAGCGAATGTTGATGCTGTTGCGCCCGCGGATGTGGTCGCAATGAGGATGCGAATGCGGATGCTGGGAGGTGCTGATGACGACCCGTGGAGCATCACGGGTGACGACGATGTTCCGCTTCTGAAATAGAGGCTGCGTGATCGCCTACAGTCCAAGGCGAAGCGTGCCCGCGTGGTGCTCTTTGATGGTGACAGTCCAGGGGAGGAGCTTCAACCGCGCATCTCTACTGCAGACAAGGGGAAAACCAAGGTCGCGGAAGCCCCTGCTAAGGCCACCGTTCGTCGCCGCCCAAGCAACAAGAAGCGGAAGAATGACGGCGACCCTGGATCCAGCACGGGTGCTGCTAAGAAGAAGAAGAAGAAGAAGAAGAAGAAGAAGAAGAAGAAGAAGAAGAAGAAGAAGAAGAAGAAGAAGAAGAAGAAGAAGAAGAAGAAGAAGAAGAAGAAGAAGAAGAAGAAGAAGAAGAAGAAGAAGAAGAAGGTGCCAAACAAGGACGACATCGTGGTCAACGAGGCGCTCGGCAGCAACGATGACTACGCGGAGGCGGCAGGCCCGATTCCTTCATTCCTTGAGAAGGCGAAGCCGAAAAAACCCCACCCTTCATAATCCCAACTCCCTTCCACCTTCCCCTCGCAGCAAGGGCAGTAAGAAAAGGCGACGCGGATGGACCGTACGCGAGAAGCTCAAGTGGGCGTGCCGCTACCAGGTGTGCCGCTACCAAGAGCTCGGCTCCTTGAAGAAGACCTCCTTGGAATCTACCGCTTCGATTGCCTGCATCAGACGGTGTAGTGCGGAGGCTGCTGCGGGCGTCTACAAAAGAGCGGCGAACTGCCGCAAGCAAATGCACGGGGGGGGGGGGAGAGACTACCCCGACATGGAGGCGGCGTTGTACCGCTACGCCTGCCTGCAACGCGCTAATGGGGTGGCGATCTCGGTGAAGGACACATAGAAGTGGAGCCGCGAGTGGATAAAGAAACACCACCCCAGCAAGAATTGGAACGTGAGCTCTCACTGGAGCCAGCGTTTCCGTGTCCATTGGAACCTGGTCATGCGTCTGAAGACCAAGGTCGGCCAGTGGTTATCGGCTGGTGAGTGTTATAGGCTTTGAACTCGCGCTCGATGCTTGACTGCATGTTCCTTGCCATTTTCTTGACAGCATGTTTCTTGCCCTTTGCTTCTAGCCATCCCCTCCTGCCGTGGCGTGTATTTCCTTTGCAAAGTGTGCTAAGGACTGCGAGTCGTTCTGGAAGTTCGTGCGTATCAACAGGGCGCGACACAACATCGACCTGGCCCGCATCATCAACGCGGACCAGACGCCACTCCTTCGTTGAGATGCCGGCCGAGAGGACGATCGTGGCGTGTATTTCCTTTGCAAAGTGTGCTAAGGACTGCGAGTCGTTCTGGAAGTTCGTGCGTATCAACAGGGCGCGGCACAACATCGACCTGGCCCGCATCATCAACGCGGACCAGACGCCACTCCTTCGTTGAGATGCCGGCCAAGAGGACGATCGAGCACAGTGGCGCGTGCTTGGTCCCAATCCGCACTGCAGGATACAAGAAGACGCGGCTCACGGCGATGCTCGCGTGCACCGCATCCAGGGAGAAGCTGCGCCCTTGGATTTGGTTCAAGCTGAAGAACGTGCCCAACTGTGAGATTCCGGAAGGTAAGCTCAAGGAATTCGGGAGCCGTAAGCCTGGTGAGCTAGGTCTCCGTAACTGTCGCCCGTCTATCCCCTATGTGCCTGGCAGGAATCGTATTCCAAGCACAGGACAACGGGTGGATGGACGAGGGTGCTGTGCAGACCTGGCTGACCAAGGAGATGCTGCTGTGAGAATAAGCGAACAGGAATGAATGAACTAGCAGTGAAATGAGTACAAGTAGGAAACCCTAGAATTGTGTACCCCCTATAGGCTAACCCACTGTAGCCTACACAAGCATAACATATATAATGTTTGACACACCCCCATAGGCAAAGTGGGGGAGAACAAGGGGTCACAAGACCAGTCAAGCAAAGCAAAGCAAGCTCAGGGTGGATCACAAAGTCACCACACAGTCCGAGCACAAGAGCAGGGCCAGAGGCCAGTTCACATGCAGGAGTACAGACATATATATAAAACTAGACAAGCAAGAGCAGGTATATATATATGTCACAGTACAAGTGAAGTCAAGAGGAGAGCAAATGAGGCAAGACAGGCACAAGACCCAGCTGGGTGCAAAAGCGCTGATGGTCACAAGGCGCGAGTGCCTTGGTGAACACATCAGCAGTGTTGGCCTCAGAGGCCACGTACGCAAGTCGCAACTGACCACGCTGCTGCAGCTCACGAGCAAGGAAGTAGCGGAGAGCAATGTGCTTCGTTCTGTGCTCCAAGCGCTGCTCTCGACACAAGGCCAGCATGGCCTTGTTGTCTACGTACAGCACTGGAGGAGAACGAGGCGGCTCTCCAAGGTCAGTCAGCAGGTAGGTGAGCCAGCGAAGCTCCTGTGCAGCCATGGCCCCGGCGTAGATCTCAGCCTCACAACTGGAGCCGAGAACCGAAGACGAGCGAGTAGACCGCCACGAGACAGAGCCGGAACCAAGGCTGAAGGTGTAACCCTGTGACGACCGCTGCGTAGCCTGGTCGTCAGCCCAAGAAGCGTCCGCGTGGCCGGTAAGGACCACTGGACTCCGCCCTCCAAGCACAAGCCCCATGCCCGACGTACTGCACAGGTAGCGCAATACCCTCTTCGCTGCAGCCATGTGCTCTGGTCTGTGTCTCCCAGGAGCAACATAGCGTGCAAGAATGCTCAGAGGATATGCAAGGTCAGGTCGTGTGCAGGTCATCAGGTACATGAGGCAGCCAACAAGCTCTGCATACGGACCACTCGACTCTACGGACTCATCCGAAGGCAGAGCTGAGAGTGAGTGGCGAGTAGGCAGAGGAGTGGCCTGAGGCGAGGAGTACGTGAAGCCGAAGCGCTGAAGGACCTGCTGCACCATGTGTGACTGAGTCAAGGTAATGGTGCGGCGTGCTCTGTCCCGAGTGATCTGCAAGCCAAGGTAGCTGCGCAGTTCACCCAGGTCTGTGCACGTGTGTCTCTTCAGCAGTTCGGACTTCACGTAGGCGAGTCCAGCAGTGTCCGCTGTGGCAAAGACCAAGTCGTCGACGTACACGAGGATGTAGAACGGCGGCAGTGAAGTGTCGGTGCGCAGAAACAGCGACGGGTCAGCAGTAGAAGGAGCAAACCCAAGAGCCGCAAGCGTAGTCCTCAGTGTGTCGTGCCACTCACGCGGTGCCTGGCGGAGACCGTAGACTGGCCGTCGGAGGCTCCACTGGGTGCCAGGAGGGAAAGTCCCAGTGAAGCCAGGTGGACGGCGCAGCCAGATCTCCTCGTGCAGGCTACCCTGCAGGAACGCAGTGCTGAAGTCGAGAGAGTGAAGCTCGTAGTCGCGCTGAGCGGCTATGTGCAGCAGCACCCGAAGAGTGGTCATCTTCGGGGTGGGAGAGAAGGTCTGAAAGTAGTCAACTCCCTGCCGCTGACTGAAGCCACGAGCAACGTACCGCGCCTTGAAGACAGGTGGAGAGCCCGGCGGCCGCTTCACCCGGAAGATCCACATGCCACTGACGATGTTCGCCCCAGGAGGGGGAACTGCGTCAACGTAGGTGCCTGTGGACTTCCAGGAAGCCATCTCTGCATCCATAGCTGCCTGCCACTGAGAGGAGTAGGGACCCTCTACGGCCTCCGCGTAAGAACGCGGAGTCGGGATGTCTAGTGCATCCGGGTCTCCCTCAGGGGCAAGCAGTACAGACGCGAGATGAGGTGAAGCAGCCGCTAGACACTGTAACTCCTCCTGTCTGTCCTCTAGGACGTCCGTGCCAAGAGCACACTCACCCCCGACGGACGGAGGACAGACAGACGCAGACTCAGCAACAAGACCAGCAGCGTAGTCGAGACGACAGCGAGCAGCAAAGTCAACGAGCTCAGCGACTAGAGCAGACGCAGCAGTGGACTCAAAAGAGGGGTCAGTGACGACAGTAGCAAGCAGACGCGTGACAGTAGGACTGGCAGCGCGAAGAGAGTCCGACTCAGGGTCGGCAAGCGCAGGAAGAGAGGACTCAGGAGGCGAAGGCAAAGGGGCACGCAGAGGAGCAGTGGACAGACGCAGAGACATCCGGTGCGTGCCAGGGACAGGAGGAGGACGCTGACGCGAACCGCGACCACTAGCGCGAGCAGCACGAACAGGCGACGCGGGACGAGACGCAGGCTCACAACGCTCAGCAAGACCTCCAGTAGGACCAGTGTAAGGAGAGGGAGTAGGCAGAGGAGAGGAAGGCTCCAACAGTGACTGCGACTGGACAGGCTGTGGACACTCTACCAAAGGAGAAAGACCAAGAACCTGCTGTAGGAGCGGAACGAAGTACGGCCGAGGCCGCGCGGCAGCTCCAGACTCAGCAGGGACAGCACCAGCACCCTCAGCGACAGCACCAGCGCCACCCACACCTCCAGCGGCAGGACCAACAGCAGTAGGCTCAGCACCAACGCCCTCAGTACCTCCAGCTCCAGGAGGACCCGCAGGTCCAGCAGCTCCGGGACCGGCAGCACCCGCACCCTCGACGGTCGAAGAAGCTCCAGCTCCAGCTCCAGCAGCACCTCCAGACTCAGCAGCACGCCTCCAGCGGCGAGCGAACCACTCGCGCAGCTCCTGTGGAGAGAGGGGCTCCCGGCGAGACGCAGCAGCAGGAGAAACTCCAGGCTCAGCAGCTCCAGACGCAGCACCCCCAGGCTCAGCAGCTCCCGACCCAGCACCCCCAGACCCATCACCTCCAGGCACAGCACCCCCCTGCTCAGCACCCCCAGGCTCCGCACTCTCCGCAGTAGCACCCGCAGGCCCAGTACCCCCAGCAGTAGCACCCCCAGGCTCAGCACCCCCGCGCACAGCACCCCCAGAGTCAGCACCCCCAGGCTCAGCACCCGCAGCAGCACCAGAGTCACCTGTAACCTCGACCGGGTCAACGGCGTCTACCTGGGACACACCTGAGGGGGCAGGAACCTGAGGGGGGAGGGGGTCTACCGGGGGGGGAACCGGTACAAGGAAGTCCGGGGGAGGGGGGAGGGAAGGAGTGCGGTAGGGGAAGAGACGGTAGAAGGGGACTGACTCGTCGAACGTGACGTCCTGGGAGGACAGAACACGACGAGAGGAGGGGTGGTAAAACTGCCACCCTGGGGCGTCAGTGGGGAAGCCAAGGAAGACACAGGGAGCAGCACGAGGGGACAGCTTGTCCGCAGACAAGTCGCGGACAAACGCCCGAGATCCCCAGACACGGAACACAGACGCATCGCCAACCTTCCCTGTCCACAGCAAGGCTGGGGACATCGCAGGCCGAGAGACCCGGGGGTGAAGGTTGAGCTGATGCGCCGCGTACCTCACCGCAAACGGCCACAGAAAATGGGGGGCAGCCGCATGCATCATGGACGTACGAGCGACATCCATGACCATGCCAATGCGGCGCTCAGCAATCCCATTTTGCTGTGGTGAGTCCGGAAGCGTGAAGGACTGGCGGATGCCTCGCGCACGACAGTAGGCACGCAGAAGGCCAGAGGAGAACTCTCCGCCTCTGTCCGAGTGCAGACGCAGAACAGGAAAGTCCGAGCCGAAGCTCTTCTTGAGCCGGAGACGAGCCTCGCGGATCCAGTCGATCAGCACCTCAGTGACCTCACCCTTGCTGCGCAAGGGGAGGACTGTGGTGTAACGCGAGTAGTCGTCAACCACCAACAGGAAGTAGCGCTCGTAATCCTGCCCACGGACGGGGGCTGGGCCCCACACATCCATGTGAAGCGTCTGCAGGGGAGCCTCTGTCGGGGGGAAGTGGGAGGAGTGAGGAGTAGCCCGGAGGCGACCCTCGACACAGGGGACACAGGAAGGTCCTGGCCCGGAGGGGAGAGGAGGGAGAGACTGGGGAAGACCAGAGACAAGGACACGGGAAGCCATGCTCCGAAGACGGGGCAAGGAGGGGTGGCCAAGACGGTGGTGCCACAGGAGAGTCTCGTGAGACAGGAGGCGACAAGTACAGGGGGCAGACTCAGGACCAGACCTGGACGCAGCAGCAAACACCTGACCCGATGCTGCTACCTGACCGGACGCGGGGACAGGAGGAGACTCAGTGGTCAGGGTGTAGAGGCTCGACCCCGGCCGACGCGAGAACGTGGCCAGGTGCCGGCCTGTGCGTGCGTCCGTGCAGTGGGTCACCCGCTGACTCGCAGGAGTGAACTGGTGAACCCCCGCATCCTGTAGGTCTGCACCACTCACCAAGTTCGTCGAGAACGAGGGGAGGTACAGGCCAGACAGGGTGCCCGAGGGGGCAGCCGGACACGGGAGGACAGTGGAGAAGTGAGCGAGGACAGGACCCCCAGAGGGGTCAGCCAGGGAGACTGCAACCGGCCGACCAAGCGGCGTGAGTGTGGTGCGGTCCCGAAAGAAGGAGCGAGAAGCCCCAGAGTCAAGTGTAAAGGTGAGGGAGGCCGAAGCCAACGCGGTACCTGAGAGCGCAGCCTCACCCGCACCTGAGGAAGCAGACTCACTAGCACCTAGAGCAGCAGCCGCACCTGTACCTGGAGCAGGAGACTCACTAGCACCCAGAGCAGCAGCCTCACCAGTAGCTAGAGCAGCAGGTCCTATACCTGGGTCAGGCGGGACGCACAGGTGACCTGCACGGTCAGCACTAGTAGGCAATGCATACATGGCAGTGAGAATAGCATCATAGTCAAGAGCATATATGTCTACCCTCTGCCTAAGCAACTCCACCCAGTCGGGAAGCTCAGCCTCGTCGCCAAACACGGTACGCCAGGCGTCGCTCAGACGGGCGAAGCAGCGGGACGGTGTATGACTACGTGTCCCACAAGGCTGACCAGTCCGAGTACCAGTGCGAATCACGTAAGAGCAGCGAACAGCACTAAGAGACCCTCCACTCTGAGCGTACCACTCACGAAGCTGGCGAGGCGTGAGAGACACGCGAGAGGGTTGCGGGAGCTGCATCTGGCCGCCACCACGAGTAGAAGCAGCAGGAGTGGTAGTAGGAGTAGCGTCGCCACCCCTACAGCCCCAACCAGCGTACCACTCACGCAGCTGCTGCGGCGTGAGGGACTCACGCCGGCGTCGCTGGGGCTGCATTTGGCTCCGCAAGTAGAAGCAGGAGCAGGACTAGCAGCAGGGAGGCAGGCAGCCAGGCAAGCCAAAAGGCAGGCAGGCAGGCAAGCAGGCGACGCGCAGCGTGCTAGCAGGGCAAGAGCTCACCAGTGGTGGGAAGAGTAGGTTCGGCGACTCAGCGGCTCGGCAGCTCGGCGGCTCGGCGGCTCGGGCGACTCGGGCGGCTCGGCGGCAAGGCGGCTCAGCAGCAACTGCAGCTCAGTAGCTCGGTGACTCGGCGGCTCGGCGGCAGGGCGGCTCGGCAGCAACTGCAGCTCAGCAGCTCAGCGACCCGGCGGCTCGGCGGCAGGGCGGCTCGGCTGTGGGGCGGCTCGGCTGCTGCAGGGGAGATGAAGGAGGAGGAGAAGCAGGGGAGGCCACACATCTGCCACCCCTCTGCTGGCCCCTCAGGTCGCCTCGACAGGCGACGGGAAAAGGGGGGGTGGGTGGTGGGGGGCCGGTAGGTGCAGCGGCGGGGCCAGCAGGTGCAGTTGCGGGGCCGGTAGAAGGGGACGGCAGGAGCCGTCAGGAGGGGACGGCGGGGCCGTCAGGAAGGGACGGCGGGGCCGTCAGGAGGTGACCGGGCCGCGACGGGGGCAGGCGGCGGGGCCGCGTAAGGGCCTGGGCGGGGCCGCGACAGAGCCGTCGGCGGGGCCGCGTGAAAGCCGGGGCGGGGCCGCGTAGAAGCCGGGGCGGGGCCGCGCGAGAGCAGGCGGCGGGGCCGCGAAGGAGCCGGGGCGGGGCCGCGTGAGAGCAGGCGGCGGAGCCGCGTAAGGGCCTGGGCGGGGCCGCGACAAAGCCGTCGGCGGGGCCGCGTGAAAGCCGGGGCGGGGCCGCGTAGAAGCTGGGGCGGGGCCGCGCGAGAGCAGGCGGCGGGGCCGCGAAGGAGCCGGGGCGGGGCCGCGTGAGAGCAGGCGGCGGGGCCGCGAAGGAGCCGGGGCGGGGCCGCGTGAGAGCAGGCGGCGGGGCCGCGACAGAGAGGGCGGCGGGGCCGCGTCAGTGAAGGCGGCGGGGCCGCAGGGGAAATGGCGACCCGAGGGGTCGCTAAAAAAAAAATCGCGCCTCGGGGGGCGCTTCGGTGGGCCCAAAAAAAACGGTCCGTAGAAGGACCCGCTCTATACCATGTGAGAATAAGCGAACAGGAATGAATGAACTAGCAGTGAAATGAGTACAAGTAGGAAACCCTAGAATTGTGTACCCCCTATAGGCTAACCCACTGTAGCCTACACAAGCATAACATATATAATGTTTGACAGCTGCCCCATCTGAACCCCGAGCATGGCCAGAACGGGAGGCATGCGATGCTGGTGTTGGACTCCTACAGCGGCCACATCACCCAGACTATGCTTCATTTCTACTGCACGCACAACATCACCCCTACAGTGATCCCAGCGAGTTGCACGAGCCAGATTCAACCCCTTGACGTTAGCATCAACCGGTGCTTCAAGGCTGCTGTGCGAGCTCGCTCCGGCAGGTGGTTCATGCGTGAAGGGATTCACATGAAGACGAAGAAGGGTGAGTAGCACTTTGAATTAAACTTCTGCTCCGTTTTCTTTCCATGTCTCTAACGGCTCTCTACCCCTGCCTCTGTACCACCCGCAGGGAACCTGCAAAGGCCTCCGCACCCCGTGGTGCTGCAGTGGATCGCGGAGGCATGGGATCAAGTCCCCAAGCAGGTTATCATTGACGTGTTCCGTCACTGTGGGATTTCAAGCAAGCTGGACGGGATGGAGAACCACCTGGTGATGTCTCACCTGCGCGCCAAGACCACTGTCAATGTCTCCAAGGACATGAGCCTCGGGGGAACCATAGGCGACAACACGCGCCTGCTTGGGCAAGCGCCAGAGGAGGAGGAGGAGGAGGAGGAGGAGGAGGAGGAGGAGGAGGAGGAGGAGGAGGAGGAGGAAGAGGAGGAGGAGGAGGAGGAGGAGGAGGAGGAGGAGGAGGAGGAGGAGATGCAGGCGGAGGGCATGAGGGAGGTGGTCGTGGAAACTGGCCTGGAGGTGCTGTACCAGGAGACTCCCAACTATCGCGGAGCGGCGGCTGAGGGTGACCGCATGATCGAGCCAAGGGAGACGGGTAGGCATGCCTGGCGAGTGCCAGTCCTGAGTGTTAGGGAGCCTGGTATTAGTGCAAGTGAGGACGTCGTGACTGAGGAGGGCTAAGTAGATGTAGAGATTCATAGATGTATGCAAGTACCCCCCTAAAGGAACTAATGATCGTGTAGAAGACACCCCCTGCTTATACAAAAACCCCTAAACCCCTGTTCTGGTTATAAGACATATGTGTCTTATCTCGTACACACAAATAGGTGTCTTATAATGAGGCTAGCTTGTCTATAAGAGACACCCGGATAATAGACAACCCCTGTCTATTATTCAACACTGTCTACTATCGGAGCGATGACGGTACCTGGCCGCCACCCCAGCACCTGCAGCTGATAGCCGCGCAGGTGCCCAACGAACCTGAGCGTCACCTCCACCAGCTGCAGCAAGGGAGCCACTAGAAGCTCCACGAGGCGCTCCATCAACACCTGCACTCCCGCCATCGCCACTCGCCACGCCACCTCCACCGCCTCCGCTGCTGGCTGCACCCTGGCCGCCCCTCCTACCACTCCTAGCTCTAGACCGCGCAGAAGTCGTGACAGCAGCTGCGGTCTTGTCAGTAGCAGTAACGGCAAGGGAGGCAGTAAAGGTGGGCAGCCGTGGGACAGCACACCCGTGGAACTGTGGGGGGTGGGCATAGTGCCAGAGGCGGAGGCTACCGAGCGGAGATTGCTCTCGACGTCCTTGAGTGCAGACTCATTGAAGCAATGGGGGTGTGTCAAAAGTTGTAGCCTGTAGTGAGGCATGTCATGTGGGGTACGGTTGTTAGGGGTTAGGTACATGGCCCAAAATTGGTTTAGGCCTACCCTTACAAATCACGGTTCCAGCCTCTCCTTATCCCGACCCCTAGGGTAAAAAATTTTGTACCCTGTTTGCAGCGGGGTAAATTAACCTCTAGACTAATTTGAGTAGGGTAGTCTTAGGCTAAGCCTGTTTTGGCTACTAGTTTGTGAGGTACGTTACTTATATTGACATGATAAAGTAGCACACACAGAGTCAATGAGCCTGGGACGACAATTTGTTGCGTATGACAACTTGAAGCTGGAAGGGCCGTTTCTTCCACACGGCGAGAAGTGCATGGCCAGCAGAGCAGGACTGGGACTGCAATTTGTTGCGTATGACTTGAAGCCAGGGCTAATTTTATCAGTGTAAATCACCTTGATACACTGATAATCAGGGTGGTTTTTGGTAGTCACACTGATGCCTTGGGGTAAATTTTTATGGAGCTTAGATTTTCCTCATATGCCATGATTTACGTAGAAGGCACACTGTCGCCCCAGGGTTACCGATATTCGTAGCGAGATTAACCCTCAAGCAAATACCACACCCCCCTCACCCCCCCCCATTCCTCAACTTGCCCTCGCAGCTCTGTCTATGTCATACGAATTTGTAGTAATGTTATCACAATACCCACGTTGAAGTGGCCCTATTAGTAGATTGGTCTTTGAAAGGTTGAAGACCCGGGATCGAATCCTGTAGCCAGAGTTTTTGTTCATAACTGTCAGATGATTATATTACTGATGCATATATTTAGGCTGTAGTGGGGTAGCCCATAGGGGGCACAACCCAATTAGGGTTGGTACTTGTACTTGTTTCATTTCATAGTGCACTCATTCTCTCTCTAATTACAACATGGTATAGAGCGGGTCCTTCCTAAGGACCATTTTTTAAGGGCCCACCCACGAAATTTTCGCTGCCCGGAGCGCGCCCTTCTCTCCCCGAAGCGCGCTCCCCCTAGTCCTTCTCGCACTGCCCTTGTGGCCCCCGCGAGTCGCGCGCGCGACCCTTTTTTTTCGCGCGCGCGGCCTGGGCCACGTCGCGCTGGCCTTACGGCCGCGTCGCGCCGCCCTCGCGGCTCTGCTGCGTCGCGCCGCCCTCGCGGCCCCCCCCCTAGCGCCGCCCACGCGGCCTCATCGCCTGCCTCTGCAGGCCCCGACATCGTACCTGCCGGCCCCGCCGCTGCACCTGCCGGCCCCGCAGCTGCACCTGACGGCCCCGCCGTCCCCTTCTGACGGCCCCGCCGTCCCCCTCTGCCGGCCCCGCCGCTGCACCCGACGGCCCCGCCGTCCCCTCTGCCGGCCCCGCCGCTGCTTCAGACGGCCCCGCCGCTGCACCTGACGGCCCCGCCGTCCCCTCCGATGGCCCCGCCGCTGCAACAGACGGCCCCGCCACTGCACCTATCGGCCCCGCCACTACCCCTGACGGCCCCGCCACTGCATCTCCCGGCCCCTCAGCTGCATCTCCCGGCCCCGCCGCCCCAGCAACTGCGCCGCCCCAGCAGCCGAGCCGCCCCAGCAGCCGAGCCGCCCTAGCAGCCGAGCCGCCCCAGCAGCCGAGCCGCCCCAGCAGCCGAGCCGCCCCAGCAGCCGAGCCGCCCGAGCCGCCCGAGCTGCCGAGCCGCCCGAGCCGCCCGAGCCGCCCGAGCCGCCTGCACTGCCCTTTCTGGTGAGCACTGAGCTTTACTCTGCGCACTGCCCTCACCCTACTGCTGTCATGGCTACCCCCAGTGTCCTCACCTTTGACGCTGAGGGCACAGCCATCGACTTTGACGTGTGGGTAGACGACCTACTGCTTTTCCTACAGTGCGACAGAGCTGACGGCCTCTCTCTCTTTGATCTCACTTCTGGTGCCTCTCCCGCCCCTGCTGCTACTGAGGATGCCACTGTTCGCTCACAGTGGGCCACACGCGATGCTGCTGCATGTCTTGCTGTGCGTCGCCACCTCCCTCCCTCTGAGCGTGCACACTTTGGGTCGTACAAGAGTGCTCAGACCTTGTACGACGCCGTTATTGCACGCTACTCCACCCCTGCCACTGCTGCACTGAGCCGCCTCATGCTACCGTACCTCTTTCCCGACCTTGCTTCTTTTGCCACAGTCGCCGACCTCATTACCCACCTGCGCACTAGTGACGCTCGCTTCCGCGCTGCGCTTCCGCCTCCCTGACTCCCTTCGCGGAGTCAGGGACGACTTACTCTCAGTCTGCCCCACCACTCTCACTGTTGACCTCCTCGAGAAGTCCCTCCTAGCGGCCGAGAAGAGCATTCTCGCTGTAGGGGCCTCTCGTGGTGACCCGCGCACCCCCATCTTTGAGGGGTGTTCCCCCTCCCCCCTCCTGCCCTCTGTCGCCTCTGCTGCTACGGCCGACCTAGTTGGTTTTGAGTCGGTCGGTGCGGCGTCTGCCCCCAGTGGGAGACGTCGCTCTGGCAAGGGCAAGGGGGGCAGGAGCGGTGGTGGAGGCGGCGGGGGCGGTGGAGGCGGCGGTGGAGGCAGCGGAGGAGGTGGGGGTGGTAGAGGGAGTGGTGGCGGGAGTGGAGGTGTCAGCGGCGGCAGTGGAGGCGGGGGTGGCAGCGGCGGTGGTGGTGGGAGTGGAGGCGGAGGCGGCGGTGGCGGCAGCGACGGTGGGAGTGGCGGTGGCAGCGGAGGTGATGGCGGACCCCTGTGGGGGTCCTGTTCTGGCTCGCTACTCCGCTGTCCTGCCGTGCCCTGCGGTCCCGTCTGGCGCCCTGTCCGGTCTCTACCTCCCCTCGTTCTCTACGAACTTGGTGGCGGGTGCTGACCTACAGGATGCAGGGGTCGACTAGTTCACCCCTGCACGCCGACGAGACACCCACTGCACGGACGCGGACACGGGTCGACACTTGACCACGTTCACACGTGGGCCGGGGTCGAGCCTGTACACACTCACTGTTCCGTCTCCTCCTCCTGCGTCTGGTCAGGTAGCTGCGTCGGGTCAGGTGTTTGCTGCAGCGTCCAGGTCTGGTCCTGAGTCTGCCCCCTGCTCGTGTCGCCTCCTGTCCCACGAGACCCTCCTGTGGCACCACAGGATGGGTCACCCCTCCCTGCCTTGTCTCCGGGGCATGGCCTCTCGCCTTCTTGTCTCTGGCCTTCCCCGGTCCCTCCCTCCCCTTCCTCCAGGGCCTGGCCCTCCCTGTGTCCCCTGTGTCGAGGGTCGCCTGCGGGCTACCCCTCACTCCTCCCCGTTTCCTCCAACGGAGGCCCCGATGCAGACGCTTCACATGGACGTGTGGGGCCCAGCCCGCGTCCGTGGACAGGGTCACGAGCGCTACTTCCTGCTGGTGGTTGACGACTACTCGCGTTACACCACAGTCTTCCCCTTGCGCAGCAAGGGTGAGGTCACTGAGGTGTTGATCGACTGGATCCGCGCAGCTCGTCTCCAGCTCAGGCGGAGCTTCGGCTCGGACTTTCCTGTTTTGCGTCTGCACTCGGACAGAGGCGGAGAGTTCTCCTCCGGCCTTCTGCGAGCCTACTGTCGGGCACGAGGTATCCGCCAGACCTTCACGCTTCCGGACTCTCCACAGCAGAATGGGATTGCTGAGCGCCGCATCGGCATTGTCATGGACGTCGCCCGTACGTCCATGGTGCATGCGGCTGCCCCCCATTTTCTGTGGCCGTTTGCGGTTCGGTACGCTGCGCATCAGATCAACCTTCAGCCCAGGGTCTCCAGACCGGAGACCTCCCCAGCTTTGCTGTGGACGGGGAAGGTTGGCGATGCGTCGGCGTTCCGTGTCTGGGGATCTCCGGCGTTTGTCCGCGACTTGTCTGCGGACAAGCTGTCCCCTCGTGCTGCTCCTTGCGTCTTCCTGGGTTTCCCCTCTGACGCACCTGGGTGGCAGTTTTACCACCCCACCTCTCGTCGTGTTCTGTCCTCCCAGGACGTCACGTTCGACGAGTCGGTTCCCTTCTACCGGCTCTTCCCCTACCGCACTCCGTCCCTCCCCCCCCCCGCCCCTCTTCCTGGTCCCAGGTCCCCCCCCGGTAGACCCCCTCCCCCCTCAGGGTCCTGCCCCTTCAGGTGTGTCTCAGGTAGACGCGGTCGAGCCTGTCGAGGTCACTGGTGACTCTGGTGCTGCTGCGGGTGCGGAGCCTCGGGGTGCTGAGACTGGGGGTGCTGAGAATGGGGGTGCTGAGCCTGGGGGTGCTGAGACTGCGGGCGCTGAGCCTGGGGGTGCTGAGACTGGGGGTGCTGAGCCTGGGGGTGCTGAGCTTGGGGGTACTGAGCCTGGGGGTGCTGAGCCTGGGGGTGCTGTGCCTGGGGGTGC